CCCTTCGTGTTTTTTTACCCCGGCCGCCGTCCCCCCCCCCCCCCCCCCCCGGGGCCCCACTCCACCCCCATGTGGAAGGATGGACACAAGGCAGGCAGGCTCACCGCGGGCCCACGAAGGCACCGTCTGGCGAGGGCTCGGGCTTCTCCACAGCCAAGCTCTTTAGTTATTACGTCACCATTTTATGACCTTACCACGAAGGGACCGACCACGGAGCTCGTGTGAACGGAACAGCTTCTACGCCGAGGGGTGGGCTTCCAGCCACGGCCCCCCTCGCGTCTAGCGTCGGTGGCCGCACAAGGTGCATCCGTGGAGCCCGTCTACACCCTCAGGCAGATCCAGCCCCTGGGGCCCGAGAGCAGCCTGCGGTCCAGGTCTGGCTTCTCACGGCGCCACCGCTTTAGTCCAAACGGGGATGCGACCCGGGGCCTGACGCCAGACACGTGCACGGAGGCCCAGGTCTCCCACGGCGACTGGGACCGTGCTAGGAGCGGGGCAGGGCCAGGCCGCTCGGAAGCAGCCAGCTCTGTGGACACACGGCTCATGCCGCGGCTGGGACGCTGGCCCGCACCTGTCCTCCCGCCACCGAGTGCGGTGTCGGCAGCGGCGGGGAGGGGAGGCGATGGCCTCGAGACAAGAGCTGCCGCAAAGCCTCATCTGAGGTAAGAGAGCATGTTACCTTCTCGGGAACCCTGCTCCGGCCCAACTGGAATCTGCGTGCACCATCCCAGTGTCCTGGTCAGTGGGCTCGGGGACAGATGTAGGTCTGTCACAGATACCGCTGAGGTCTTTATTAGCCAAGCTTAATTAGGAGGAACAGAATCCTGGTTTAGGTTTTCTGTTTTGAGGACACTCGGGACCGTCAGCCCACGCCAGGCCCGTCTGCCGCGGCCGGGCTTCCGGACACACAGGGGCTCCGGCGTTCGCAGCAGCAGCAGCGAGAAGGCTCTGATCACGGACGACACGGGGCGGAGGGCACCTCAGGGCTGCCGAGCTGCCACCGGTGTGGCCACACCCGAGGCTTCCTTCTCTTCAGCAGCGTCCACCGAGCCTGAGAGGCCACCCTGTCTCCTCATCCTGGAAAGAGAGCTAACGCTTTAGAATTGGTTTTAACTCCGGTCAAAGGGGGGATCACATGCCGCGTGGGGGCCAGAAACACCCTTTGTGTCCCAGCGTGAGCCTGGCCGGCCCGTCGGCGTGAGCTGAGCTGTCAGAATTCTCGTGGACGTGGGGGCAACCTCGTCTGAACCGTGAAGACAGAAGAACGTGAGTGCTTCAGACGGCGGACCCGTCGGAAGGTAGCGACGTGCCGCTTTATCCGTGCCTGCAGTTAACGGGGAACGGGTGAACTTTCTCATACAGATGGCAGCCGGGGTCAGGTGTGGTACAGCTCGGCCACGTGATAAAGCGCCCTTGTCTGGCTGGGGATGGAACGTCCCTCTGCCCGTGATAAACGGAGGGTCTGGAATCCCATCCACAGGAGGCGGAAAACCACATGCGTGCGCGCACGGCCGCACCCGGTGAGCTGTGGGGGGAGCAGCGCGCCCACGCCCACCACCCGCCAGTACCGGCACCGCTGGGGTGCGGAGGCCACGGGGACGTCGCTGGCTGCCCGCACTATCTGAAACTCCCGACGTGGATGGAAAGAGACGCTTCTGGTGCACGGGGCCGGGCAGGCGTCTTGACACCAGAGAAGACGTCACTGCTCTGCACACGGAGGGTTTCTTGGCTGCGGGAGACAGGAGAGGCTGTCATAGACTCATGGTCGTGGACACCACAGGCCTCACCGGGTTGGGGGATTTGGAATGACTCTGAGATTCATTCCAGCTTTTTAAAAAAAAAAAACTTTAGATGTTTATTTTTGAGAGAAAGAAAGAGAGAGTGCAAGCGGGGGAGGGGCGGAGAGAAAAGAAGACACAGAATCCAAAGCAGGCTCCCGGCCCGGAGCTGTCAGCAAAGAGCCTGATGCAGGGCTTGACCCCACGAATCGTGAGATCATGACCTGAGCCGAAGCTTAACCAACTGGGCCACCCAGGCACCCCTGTTCCAACTTCTTAGGGTTAAGTTATGACGGGCCACAAGGACGCGTGTCTGCAATTTTGACAGGTATTTACAAACTGTTCAGTCGGAGGACCTCAATTTACGCCTCCCCTGCCCCCGCCTCGCCAACCCTATGTCAGGACAATGGGCTTTTGCACGTTGTCCACACAGCGGGTCAGACTTGGGGCCTTTTCCAATCTGCCAGATGAAAACGTCTCATGGCAGAGTGATCTTTACCTTTTGAATCAACGTGTTAAGCTCGACAGACGCAAGGATCTGAAACGTCCAGCCCCGTGGACTGCTGTGGGTGTGGTGGCAGAGTGACACTGCCTCCCGCTTGGCCCTCTCTTCCTTGTGGTTTGTTCCGGCCCCGCCGGGTGCCCCTGGCAGCATGCCTGACACATCGGTACCCAAGGTGGGGACGGGTAGGAGGAGGTGAAGAGTAGGAGGTGAGCAGGGGCTCGGGCAGGTGCGTTACGTCGAAGGCTGCGGCAGTAACTCGGGTAAGAAGCAATCAGAACAGGGAAAAGCCAGCTGAGGACTCAGACTTCAGGAGCCTGGAAGCAGGGAGCAGATCGGGAGGACCGTGGCGCCCCTGATAGGGCCTGCATGGGGGTGACACGGGGGTGAGAGCCCCATTCCGGCACATGGAGTCTCAAGTATCAATACTGATGGAACATTCCAGCAGATTCTGGTAAGTGTACCTGGTTTACGGGTGGGGGGAAGGGGATCGGGGGGAGAGGTGAGCTCCACGAAGAGGAAGGAGAGAGTCCACATTGGCAGAGTGGGGAGAGAGCGGGGAGGGCGCGGGGTTGGCGTGAACAGGGCGGTGCTGGATGAAGGGCAGTGAGCGGGCAGGCAGAGGCTGGAGCCGCTCTGTGACAGCGGTGCTCGTCTGTCCAGGAGACCCAGGGGTGCCGGCGTCTGGAGGAAAAGGCCCAGCAAGTGGCAGAGGGGAGGCGGGAGACCAGACCAGGGTGCGGGGGGAGGGTTTCCTCCTAGTGACTTGTTGCCCATGTCGCCCAGGCTGTGTCCCTGTTCCCGGAAAGCCTGTCAGGAGGTGACCAAAGGAGCATGTACAAGCATGGACAGTGGAGAAGGATCCCTGTCCGAGCCTCGATCAAGAGCACAGGTGGGAAGAGCTGCCATTCGGGCCTTCGAGGGGACGCTGCCCGCGTGAGAGAAACTGGCCGTACCTTTTCTGTTTTCCCAGAGCGAGCTGCTTCTGTGTCTCTTTTCCCAGGTCATCTCTGACGGTACTGAAATCTTCATCATCCTCAACCAGGAGATTCTACATTTCAAAATAATGAAGGAACAATGTTTTCGGATCTCTTCTTAGCCTACTTTTAAGGCGTATGCAAAAAAATACACCAACAGAAGGCTACCTGAACTGACGTAAATTAAACAACGAACGTAAGACATGCTGGTGCTGGAAATATGCTCTGCCAGCAGTGGAAATGCTGCGCCGGCCTCTTGAGCACACAGCCCCACCGACGGCCGGCACAGGGGCTCGGACAGAGGACGACATAGGCACAGGGTCCTCCCCGGCCAGGAGCACAGCTGTTTCAGAAATCCTGTCACAGCGGCCACCTGCACACCTCCACAGTGACACCGTGGGCGTCTGTTAACTCTCCGGTGTCCCCAGATGCTGTCCTCATGTTCTCCCGAGGGACCAGACCTCTCCACTCCTGGCACGTGCCATCAGCTTCGTACGTGGACATCATTCACCATGAGCCCTGGCCCCCCCCCCCCCCCCCCCCCGGCTCAGCACATGGGACACGTCGCTTGTGCGACAGCACACGGCTCTGACGCTGAGCAGTGCAGTGCTCACAGGAACATGTGCGCCCCAAAATGGCCATTCTGACGCTCACCACCTGCCACCGTCTTGTGTGGCTACCACCTCCGTCGTGTGGCTTTGGGAGGGGCAGCTACGTGCTAAGATACTGAGGACACGCAGGAGGGTTTTGCTGCTTTTACAAGTAGCTCTCAGGTGAGAAAAAGTAACAAATACGATACGATTTCTGTTCCAGTAAGTGCTGCACGAGGAACCTTTATTCGGGTAAGTGGCGTATGATGTGCTTTTTAAAAACTGAGAAAAGCTGACTGCAAAGTAAGAGGAAATACAGAGGTAACGGGCCGATGTCCACGTCCTCAGAGCGGTACCTGCAAGACTGCAGGCGTGTGGCCCGAGACCCCTACTCCTACGGGGGGTCACGGGGAAAAACGGAGGTGAACATATACACGTGGACGGTGCCGGGTAGAGGAAAGAGCTGCTCAGTGACCGCTATTAACACCACTGACCTCTGACCACATTTGCACATTTGTTTTCCAAGGAAAACTCATATTCCGCCGCTGGCCCCCTGCCCGTCAGAGGCCAGTGCTCCGTGGAGGTGAGCCTGGTTGTTGCCGTCCTCCCTCCGCCCCGATTACTACCCAGGACTGTGGCCCTCTGGGACCCTCCGCACTTTACAGGGTTTTACATTTCCTGTAAATGACCACTTTGTGACTTTGTTTTCAACCCTAAGTAATTGGAGGTCTGTCCGCGTTGACGTACGTCGCCCTGATTTACGGATTTTAACTGCCGTGTTCTAGATCACCACGTTAATACCTTTCTTCGTTTTATCTGTCCCCTTTCTGAGGATCACTGAAGTTCTTCCGACCTATGCTGAGGTGAGCCCTCCGCACGTCTCCTCACTCGTGTGTGAGCGGATTCAGGTTGTGTCTAGGAATGGCCGGGGTTTGCTATGCACAAGCATCGTCCTGCCCGGCGTGGACTTGTCTCCGGTGCCAGCCCGCGTGCGCCCCTGCCAGAGGCGGCTGCTGCTTCACCTCAAAGGCCCTGCTTCCTGGCCAGTCTCCTCCCAAGAATGGGGCGGGGGGGGGGGTGTGTTCATCCTCGCCCCGGTCTCCCCTGTCGGGCTGTCTTTCTGTAACTGACTTACAGATGTCCTTCACATTCTGGACCATCATCCTTGTGACCGATCTTGTTCCTCTTTGTGGCTTGCCTTTTCACTGTCATTTCCTTTGATGAACTAAAATTTTTACTCTTTGTTTAGAGAGAGAGAGAATCTCAAGCAAGCTCCACGCTCAGTGCGGAGCTCAACCCCATGACCCTGGGATCGTGACTTGATTTCAGCTCAAGAGTCAGACGCTCAACTGACTGAGCCCCTCAGGTGCCCCTGTAATTTTTACTTTTAGTGCAGATTTATCCATCCTTTTCTTTTGGTCTGTGCTTTTTGTTTCTTATGTTGAGAAAATCCTTATGGCTTAGGTTAAGAAGGATTTCTTAAATCTTCTAAAGGTTGGAAATCACTGCCTTTCACATTTGAGTTTCCATATTGATGTATCTGGTGTGAGCAGAGCTGGATACAGATTTTCCGGGGCCTGAAGCTCAAATAAATTTGGGGACTCTATGAGAATTTCTCCTGTATGAATAACCCATTTTCCCAGTACCAGTTACTGAATAATCCGTTTTTAATGTCGTTTCAAGTGCCCCCCTCCTGCCTGCCCTTGTCACTTTGTACCTGGTGAGGTGAGCACCCGGACTGTGGTCTTTTATTTACTTATCTACTGTTGGTTTATTTTTGAGAGAGAGAGAAAGAGAATGAGTGGGGGAGGGACAGAGAGAGAGGAAGACAGAGCCTCTGAAGCGGGCTCCAGGCTCCTTGCTGTCAGCGCAAAGCCCGACGCGGGGCTCGAACTCACGAACCGTGAGATCGTGATCTAAGTTGGACACTCAACCAACCGAGCCACACAGGTGCCCCTGGACCGTGGTCTTTAAACAGCTCGGCTCTCTGCCCTGTGCTCCTGCTCGTGAGTTTATGTCTCTTACTGACCAGCACTAACTTCACAGACGTGGGAAGCATTCTGCTGTCTTTGTACTGTGAGGTGGAATATTGCTGTGTGTCTAACTGAAGCTTCAATACTGCTCAATGTTTTTGTGATCTCTGGAGAGGTCTTCGAAATCTTTTGCTTGGATGCATTCCCGGGTACCTTGTAGTTTTACGTATACCGACCTTGCAGTCTTTTGAACTCTCTTGATCTGAGGGTTTATCTGTACAGTCTCTTGAATCTCCTCTGTAGAACTGCACGTAACGGTTTCATGCTTTCCTTTTAGAATTTCCTTTATTTCTCTCGCAATTTTTTCTTTATTTACTGTTCTTTGGGAAGGGTCCCACTGTTTATTACAATGCTGAATGCAAGTGGTGGGTAAGGGAATACTGGTTCCTTGATGTGAAAATATCAGTCAGCAATTTAATCCTTAGTCAACTTAATATCTGGAAGTTAATTCTTAAATCAAGGATCGAAATGACTAATTCTTAACCTAGAAATATTACAGTGTGAAAAGTAGGTTTGTCCGAGGCAAGCCAGGTGGCTCTGTCACTTATGTAGGAACAGGACACCGGATGAAAGGTGGGAAGCTGTGAAGCTAATTCACCAGATGCAGACACAGTAGGGATTTGGTATCACGGTGCTCATTCGGGATGAAAAGAAAAGGAACAAAGTAGGAACGGAAGGAAAGGTCTTCCCCTAATACAGGAACCTACGAAAACCTACGGCAACGCACTGAACGACACAACTTCAAAAGCATTTTTTTCATGTGAGTTAAACCCAGATTAAGGTTTTGATACTGAGGTCCTACTGACCTCATAACGAGCTGCCCAGCTTTCTCTCTTCTGCTTCCCATTCTCTGAAACAATTTCTAGAAGACGGGATTATCTGAGCCTTGAAGAACTGATACAGGGGCGCCTGGGTGGCGCAGTCAGTTAAGCGTCCGACTTCAGCCAGGTCACGATCTCGCGGTCCGGGTGTTCGAGCCCCGTGTCGGGCTCTGGGCTGATGGCTCAGAGCCTGGAGCCTGTTTCCAATTCTGTGTCTCCCTCTCTCTCTGCCCCTCCCCCGTTCATGCTCTGTCTCTCTCTGTCCCAAAAATAAATAAACGTTGAAAAAAAAATTTTTTTTAAAAAAATTAAAAAATAAATAAATAAAAGAACTGATACAACTTCTCTATAAGATCACTTGATCTTGGTGTTTTACTGAAGTGGTACATTTGCTGTTAAGTAACTTACCTTGATACCAACAGTGTCTCCATCTTTCAAGTAATAAGGTGCTCCCTGCAAATTATCTTGCTTTTTCTTCTTCTTCCTCTTGGTAATTTGCTGGTTCTATAGAGAAATCAAGCATCTTGAATAAAGAAAAGTCAATCTCAGGTTCTAAGTTCCCTATCTGTGGGAAAGCGCACGTGGCCTAGTGACTACACCGGCGAGGCCCAGGCTCTCTGAGAAAGGCCCACAACTTTACCCAGCTGGAGACTGGAAGCCACTCGAACTTTTCGGGGAAGTACTTGGCGATTTCAGTTTTCTCCACGGGAAGAGAGCAGAAGTGGGCGATGCGCTGCCTCAAGGAGCCGGCGGTCCAGCCGCAGGCGGTGTCCCACACCAAGTCCACGTGCGGGGCGTATGCCCTCTTGCCGGGGATGCGCATCTGTGTTCTCAGCACCACGTCGTGAGGCCTGCGCCAGAAAACAGTCGAGTGTCAGACTGAACAAAGTGAGAATGCAGTAACCATGGGGGAGCGTGACGGGCGAAGCCTCCCCGCCCACTCTCCTGGCTTTTCCCAAGACCCTCTGATACTCTTCCCTACTCTGACTTCCTTCGGTGCTGATCTGGCCCCGAGCGGGGCGAAGCTCCCACGCCGAGCCGGGCCAGTGTGCCGAGGTCGCCAGACAGAGCGATGGAACAGGTGCACGAAGGCTGAGCTGCTGCGGGGCGGCCAGGGAGAAGCAAGCAAAGGCTTGGCGCGGGGAAGAGGGGCCCAGGGAGACAAACGCAGAAGGATGGGAGGAGCTGGGCGTGTGGGGTGGTACGGGACATGGGGTTCCAGCTGGAAGGTGGGGAGGGGAGAAGCGGGCACAACTGCTGGGCGTTTAGGGTGCTGAGACCATGTGGGATTTTAAGTGACACGTTTCTGTTGTGTGGGTGCTTTCACCAAAAGAAGGGGTGACATGATGGGGGAACAACTGGGTGCAGGTGTGGGACTCTGGGGGCTGGTCAAGGACAGGGAGCCGCCAGGGAGGGGGTCCAAGCAAGTGCACAGCCTGGTCTGTAAAGGGACATGTACCACTTACAACAGATGTGACCAAGGGTCAGTGTCACTGAGAAAGCACTCACAAACCACTTTTTCATATGACCCCGTTATGAAATCACACAAAATATATGAATTAATTCACACTCACAAAATGCAAATGGCTTATAATTACAAGCCTTTGAGAAATACCCAGTCTTACCAGCAAAGAACTGAAGCAAATGAGAGAAGACAACCATTTCTCATTTATCAGTTTAGCAAACATTCAAACCAACACTGAATACTTGCAACTGAGGGCAAAGTAAGTAATACTACTCATAGACACTGCCTGTGGGAACAGCAATTGGTGTAACTCACCCGGAAAGGACCCTAACTTTTAAGAAGTGTAAAATATCCATACCATCTGATCCAGAAATCCCCCTCCAGGGAACTACTCCTGGTCATATGGTTGGTATTAAGAATGCACTGTTACGGGCGCCTGGGTGGCTCAGTCGGTTAAGCTTCTGACTTTGCTCAGGTTGTGATCTCACAGTTTGTGAGTTTGAGCCCCGCGTTGGGCTCTGTGCTGACAGCTTGGAGCCTGCTTCGGATTCTGTGTCTCCCTCTCTCTCTGCCCCTCCCACTCTCTCAAAAATAACCATTAAAGGGGCGCCTGGGTGGCGCAGTCGGTTAAGCGTCCGACTTCAGCCAGGTCACAATCTCGCAGTCCATGAGTTCGAGCCCTGCGTCGGGCTCTGGGCTGATGGCTCAGAGCCTGGAGCCCGTTTCCGATTCTGTGTCTCCCTCTCTCTCTGCCCCTCCCCCGTTCATGCTCTGTCTCTCTCTGTCCCAAAAATAAATAAACGTTGAAAAAAAATTTTAAAAATAACCGTTAAAAAAAAAAGGATGCACTTTTATAAACGCAGAGGGGTTAAATGAAAGTCCTGTCGATGGAGGGCTCCTGGTTACTACACAGCAGGATGAACAGCAGGAATGGCGTTCCCATCACATCAGGTAGAAGCAACCTATTTTATGATACTGATAGAAGGTCTTATAAAATATTTTATATTTTTTAATTTATTTGAGAGAGAGCGAGCGGGGGAGGGGCAGAGAGAGAATCCCGAGCAGGCTCCACACTGTCAGGACAGAGCCCCACGTGGGGCTCGAACTCACAAACTGTGAGATCGTGACCTGAGCCGAAACCAAGAGTTGGACACTTAACCGACTAGCCACCCAGGTGCCCCTAAAAGACTTTCTTGTAATGAGAAAAGAAATAGGAAGGTTGATTACAGACCCCTTAGGGGTGTTTCTTTATTCAATAATTAGTGACCATGACGCAGGCACTGTTCTAGGTACTGCGGCAAGAGCAGTGACCAAAACACAAAGGATGTGTTCTCACAAGGCTTACATCCCAGCAGTGGGAGACCAGTAACACATAATTCGGTACGTATATGTCAGGCACTATGAAGACGAAAAAGTAGGGTGGGGGGGGGCAGTGACAGGTGCTGTGCTAAGTCAGTCTGACAACAGACTACCTCAGTGCACTGGTGAGAGCTGGGAATGAGCAGCTTCCTACACTTTGAGATCATTACGGAGTCAGTATGCATTTGTGACTCACTGTTTTCATGGAAAACTGAGTTCTAAATTCCAGACACCAGACATACAGACATATTTGCAGAACACAATCTGGTTTAAGCTGCCATGCTACTCAAGCAGTGGGAAAAAACCCTTCACTACTGATCACATTAAGTTTTTCAGGAAACTACCCACCTGATGAGACATGTACATGGAATAGGATGGCTTACCCCAAGTTTTCTTCCTTCTGAAGGGGCTCTAGACAGATCTCCGTTTTCCTTCCCAGTTTATACTCCCTGATAAATGAAACAAAATACTATTGAGTGACATTTAAGTTTTTAGATTTTTGGGGGGAAAATTCTAAGTTTTCTCTTGAGCAAAAGAATATACTAAATAAGAACACTCGATATTTGAGAGGCAACTATGAACAAATGGATGCCAACAAACTGGACAGGCTGGAAAACAATGGGTAAGTCTTGGAACATACTAGACTTAGTATGCACTAAATAGAAAATCTGAACAGACCAACTACTAGCATGGGAACTGAATCAGAAAAGTCCAGGACCAGATGGTTTTACTGGTGTGTGTGTGTTTTTATTTTTCAATGTTTATTTTTGAGAGAGAGAGAGAGAGAGTGCAAGCATGAGTTGGGGAGGAGCAGAGAGAGGGAGGGAGACACAGTAGGCTCCACACTGTCAGCACAGAGCCCACCGCAGGGCTCAAACCCACGAACTGCAGGATCATGACCTGAGCCAAAGTAGGATGCTTAACCGACTGAGCCACACAAGCGCCCCACACTGGTTAATTCTAATAAACATTTCAAGAATTAATACCAATCCTCTTCAAGCTCTTTCAAAAAACAGAATAGGGAACACTTGTAAATTTCTATTATGAGGCCAGCCTTACCCTGATACAAAACCTGACTTAGCAAACCAAATTCAACAGTACATTAAAAGAATCCTACACCATGACCAAGGAGAATTTATTGCAGGGATGGAAGAGTGATTCAATATCTGCAAATCAATCAATGTGATACAGTAACAAAACTAAGGGTACATATCTCATCATCTCAATAGAGGAAGAAAGAGTATTTGACCAAAATTCTACATCCTTTCCTGATAAATATTCTCAATACAATGAGTAGAGACAAAATGCAACTTGACATAATAAAGGCCATATATGACAAGCTCACAGCTAACATGCTGAGTGGTGAAGTCTGCAAGCCCTTCCTCTACCATCAGGAGTAAGAAGACGCCTGCTCTCGGTGCCCTCGTTCAGCACAGGCCTGGAAGTCCTTCCGAGAGCAATGAACCACGGAGTAGAAAAGGCATTCAAATCAAAAAGAAGTAAGTAAAACTGTCTCCAGTTACAGATGACATATTATATATAGGAAACCCTAAACACCAAAGAACTATTAAAATAAATGAATTCAGTAAAGTCTCAGGATCCAAAGTCAGTATACACAAATCATTTAATGTTTTACACACTAACAGTGAACTATCAGGAAGACTAATTAAAACAGTCCCATTTACGAGCATTGAAAAGAATAAAATACGCAGGAAGAGATTTTAACCCAGGAGGCAAAAGATCGATATGCTGAAGACACTGATGACAGAAACTCTCTGAAGAAACAAGTAAGTGGAAAAGAAATCCCACGTTTGTGAATCGGAAGAATATTGTTAAAATGTCCACAATCACCCGGAGATATCTATAGACTCGATGCAATCTCTATCGAAATTTCAATGGCATTTTTCACCGAAACAGAAAACCAATTCTAAAATCTGTATGGAACTGCAAAAGATCCCAAAGAGCCAAAGCAATCTTGAGAAAGAACAAAGCTGGAGACATCACCCTTCCTGATTTCAAACTACAGTAACCAAAACAATATGGTTTTGCCATAAAAACAGACACAAAGACCAATGGAGAAGAACAGAGACCTCAGCAGTGAACCCATGCACGTACGGCCCATGAGTTTACAACAAAGGAGCCAAGACTCCGCACTGGGGAGAGGAGAGTCTCTTCAACAGACGGTGCTGGGAAAACCGGACAGCCACGTGCAAAAGAACGGAACTGATCGCTCTCTTACGCTGCACACAAAAATCTGCTCAAAAACTCTTCCTTGGAAGCCAAGCGGCCTTGCTCGCTTTCTGCCGCCACCTTGAGGGGAAAAGCAGGCCGTGGTGAAGCCGAGCGGCAGCTGCCCCGGAAGCGGTGCGCCGGCCGCGGGCGGCAAGATGCGGGCCGCTGTCTGCTCTGTGCCACGGACAGCTACTGGCACAGCTGGAGCCTCGCATGCCCCTGCGGCCGGGCGCAGCGGGGCGACATCAGCCCTGTCCTGTTACACCGAGGGCGGTGTGGTCCCGTGCACAAGTGACTATGGTCGGTGATCTGGGAACAGCGGAGCCTGCAGCACTTAAGGACAGTCGATTCCTGTGCGTGAACTGGGCCCGAGGCGATGCACATCATCTCAGTGTCTTACGTGGTCCCAGAAGATCGGTTTCACTACATCAGTGGCAGTTTATTTTGTGGACGTGATAGACCCACAACTCTCATCGGTGGCCATTTACGTTCACTTCAGTGCCATCCACTACTGCCAGACCCGGGCTGCTGGAAGGTCAGAGTAATGCCAGATGCGTGCCTTCAACTCAGACCGCGTTCGTCACGGTGGATCCCGCGTTGTCTTCAGTAGACAGTCGCTTTGGTAGCCCCAGTGAGAGCTCCACGCCACCGCACCTCCGTCAGACCTGACCGCCCTTCCCGCATTACCGGTGTATTAAAATGACTGAATACGAACATTAAGCACCCCACGAACCTGGGCTGATGGAGAGACTGTAGAGAAAATGAAAAAAAGATCCACGGGGGCACATCTTGGGTGGGGGGTGGGGGGAGCATGGAGGAGGGAAATGACTAATGAAGCTAATTAAGAGAATTAAGAGGAGAATTCAAATCTGCTTTCTACTCTCATTAACAATTAGCAGGGCACTGGCCAGCGTCTGTACCCTGTGTTTTACCTTAACAACATTCTACTTACTCTTGGTATATTTAAGCGTTGTAAGGAAATGTGTTTCAATCAAAACCGAACATGAGATAAAGGAAAGAGATGTGGCGTTTGCAACACTCTATCTATCGCAAACGCTTTTGTTGTGTCTCTGTAAAACACAGCGTACGTATGCATGTAAGTGTTCTCGTCCTAATGTTGCTACTTCCATGGCAAAGAAGAAAAAAAAAAAAGAATGGAAAAAAAATTGGAAAAAAATCAGGCTTATAGCAGCTACTGTGTAGAAATTTCCCCCTACTTCTAATTTGCTGAAACAAGAAAAAAATCTTTTATTTGTGATATTTTCAGAGACATGTGCTCTAATATGGTGTATTTATATAATACAAACTTAAAAAAAAAAGCAACTCAAAATGGATTAAAGACTTGAATGAAAGGCCACAAACCACAGAACTCCTAGAAGAAAACACAGGAGGTAGGCTCCCTGACATTGGCCTTGGCGATGACTTTTTTGGATTTGGTACCGATACCAAAAGGAAAAGCCAAGAAAAGCAAAAATAAGTGGGACTGACTGCATCAAATTAAAAAGCTTTTGCACAGCAAAGGAAACCATCAGTCAATGAAAAAGCAACCTATGAAATGGGTGAAAATACCTGCAAATCATCTATGTGATAAAGGGTTAACAAAGAACCCAGAAAGCTCAAAAGCAAGAAACCTCCGAAACAGTCCAGTAAAAAAATGGGCAGAGGAACCGAATAGACACTTTCCTGAAGAAGATCTACAGGTGGCCAAAAGGCACGTGAAAAGGTGAACATCACTCCTCATCAAGGAAATACAAATCGCAACCACCCTGAGATGCCACCTCCCACTGGCATCAGGAAGACGAGATAAGTGCTGGCGAGGGTGTGGAGAAAAGGGAGCCCTGTGCACTGTTGGTGGGAATGTAAATTCGTGAAGCCAGTTTTCTGGAGGTTCCTCAAAAAATTAAAAATAGAATTGCCAATATGACCTAGCACTTCTGGGTATGCACGGAAAGGAAAACAAAATCTCCAATAGGTACTATTCATAGCAGCATTATTCACAACAGCCAGGATTTGGAAACACCTAAGTGTCCATCACAGACAATGACGTGGCGTCTATACGCGTAAGCGACAGACTATCATTCGGCCATGGGAAAGAAGGACAGCCTATCGTCTGTGACAACATGGATGGACCTTGAGGACATTATGCGAGTAACGTGGAATGAGTGAGACCGAGAAAGATAAATCCTGTACGATCTCACAAATATGTGGAATCTGAAAAGGCCGGACTCCTAGGAACAGAGAGTACGTGACGGTTTCTAGGGCTGCAGGAAAAGAGGAGATGCTGATCACAGAGTCCAAATGTCCGGGAGGAAGACAAGTGAGGTCTGAGGCTCTAACGTACAGCCCAGCTCTTCCCGTTCACAGTGCTGTATCCCATATTTGAAAGTTGCTAGGAGAGCAGATCTTGAATGTTCTTACCATGAAAAAGAAATGGTAATTATGCGATGCGATGCGATGCAGGTGTTCGCTAACGCTATGGTGGCAATCATTCTAAATTTACACAGTGCTAACATGTCAATTATATCTCAATAAAGCTTGAAAAAAACCTCAAAATTCTGTTCACGGTAGCTGAAGCACAGTAAAACCACACAAAGCTACATTTATGCTTAATGTGGCAAACTAAAGGCCCAGAGTTTCTGCTTCAAAGCGTCTACCTGACAACAGGCTACCTGCCTTCTCCCCCGGCCTCTCACCACCTGGTACCGCAGCGGTGGAGGAAATGGAAGACAGAGTATCGAGGGGGAACCTACTTGAGTTGCTGCAGGTTGGTCCGTAAAAGCCTGCTGGGGCGCTTACTTTCCAAGGTCCAGGCTCTAAGGAAGGCTGGGGACGGGATGACGAAATCAGAGGAGGACAAGGTCATGGCCTAGAAAAGAAACAAGACGTTTCTCCAATGGTGTGAAAAAGCACTCCCGCAACATGTATTGTTTTGGACGAAACTGAAGCCCTACACAATGTCATCTGAGGGAAAGAGTATCTCGCATAATGATAAAATCTATCAAAAAAAAAAAAAATCTCAGGGATATCGCTTGAATGAAATCAGTCCAGTTACTGTTGTATTCCTCTCTAGGGAAACCAGCTTGTGGGATAAGTGAATTTTCTATTGAGCCATAAGCTCCTTTTAAATCATGTTTTAGAAAATGAAACTTAGAAATTAATTTCTATGAGTATAACTCACAAGAGCTCCAATGAAAGCAAGGGGTTCATCATCCGCTTTCTTTACCGTTAACGTAGTTCTTCAGAGTTTCCTCAGTCAGTGAAAGAACTTGAATTTGAAATGTTTCGGAATCTTTGGATGCAACTGCTAGGCCTCAACTTCTGCACTAATTTTGCAGGGGCTGAGAACTATTTATAGATTTAGGTTGTAGTATATAAAATGGCCAGTATTCATTTTTTATCTAAAAACCGCAATTTTGTATCTCTCAATCCAATATAAGACAAAAAAGTCTCCCCTCCTGTCCCTCATGGGAATAAGACCGTTTGCTGCTTCTGAGGAAGGTTATTTCATACACCGAGGACACAACAGGAAAGTCAAGCTCAGCCACTGATACTCAATTGGACACCCCGATTTTTTTTTTTTAAGAGAAAGGGATGCCCAGTAACAGTGGGATGCTTCTTAAGCATTTTGTGTTGTTTTCAATCCAGCCTTTCCATTTGGACCGAATGCCCTTTCTCTACTAATGTTAATACAGAAGAAAATGATACAGTATCCAGTTTGACACCCTACCATAAAGCTGATGTCTGGACCTGGGAGACAGATAACACGTCTTTTAACGGACAACGCTTGACACATGGATCACGATGATACAAAAACAATGTAAATAAAGGGGTAAAGTGAATGCTTTACAGATGTTTCAATAAATCATGTTTCCTTACAGACATCAAAATGAACATATGCTGCAAGCCACTGAGGACAAATTGAAATGAAAGCACACAGCATGCCTGTCAGAGTGGGGGGAAATGAAAGGCACCAGGCCAGTGGCAGAAACAAACACCAGGGGCCGTCTGAGCCATATGCGTGAGTCGCCTGTTGGGTACTTACCACTGAACATGGCATATAACACATGCCATATCAGAACAGACTGTAAGTGAGGCAAAAGGAAATAGAAGAAGATATTAATATCTCACTGGAAGAAGCCACGCCACCACTAACGTGCGCCACGGGAGCAAGTCTGACCTGGGACTTCAGCTCCAGCAAGGTGGCCTCTTCCGAGATCTCGAGGTCCCCCACGTGGCGGAGGGAAGCCTCTGCATACAGGTCACCTGGAGCGCCTACGAGGGACAGAGCTGGAGGTTAGAGAGGAGCTTTGCCGTGTGTTCGCTTCCTATTTCTGAAATACACGCCATGTTTTGATATTACAAACAGGGTTAGTATAGCTCCATTCAAGAAAGTATGAATCTGAGTTCCTCGAATTGGGTCCCTGGGGACTTGGGAAGGGAGGAGGCCACGCCTGGTACACTGGCAGGGAGGGAGGATGCGGTGGGCACAATGCCACGGTTCTCTCACTGCAGTGGGTTTGAGGAGTCTCACGCTTGTGATGTCCTCCTAGAATATTCTTCTCCACATTTTCTCCTTCCTCAGAGAGGACTTTACTAGTAGGATCCTCAGCCCTTACCATTTTACCTTCTTGTTTCTCTCGTGACACTTACCCCAACACATTTTGTCTGTTTTCTTGTGTGTATGGCTTTCCTACTCTGTCTCCCCAAGACGATGGTCATTTTCCACAGAGAGCAGGCTTTCTCCATCTACCCTGTTGGTCTTCCCAGTGTCTGGGATTGGTGGACGCCACATAGTAAATGGCCAGTAAATGTTTACTGACTAAAATTTCCTTGACAGTAAGAAGGACTTTCTACATTTGTTTTAAAAAGGCAAAACCAAAATGTTCTCTTATCTAAAACTCTAGATACAAAAGTTGGTAACTAAATTTAAAACTCATTTTTGCTTTGTTGATTGCTGGGCACAGTGCTAATACACAGTAAGATATCAGATTAAGTAAATTAAGTAAAAAAGCTCTTTGTGAGTGGTTCTTCTGTCTTAAGTACACCATGAGCTGATGCCACCAGAAGATACTTTTAGGAAACTCTCAGGAACGAAAACATATTTCCCATATATTGTGATATAGAAGGACTATCAAAAAATGAACTCTTTTGGGGGCGCCTGGGTGGTTGAGCATCCGACCGGCTCAGATCATGATGTCACGGTTCTGGAGTTTGAGCCCTGAGTTGGGTGCTGTGCTGACAGCTTGCAGTCTGGAGCCTGCTTCAGATTCTGGGCCCCTCTCTCTCTCTCTCTCTCTCTCTCTCTCTGCCCCTCCCCCACTCGTATTCCATCTCTCTCAAACATAAACATTCAAAAAAAAAAAAAACAACTTTTTTCTTTACTTTCATGGAGAAAGACACTGCTTTTTAAGTTTGTATCCAATTCTCTATGTAATTAATATTCTACCACCAAAGCATTTTTAGAATTAGTGCGTATGTAATATAACCCAAACAAACAAAAAAACTTCATGCCAATTTCAGAGATAATTCAACATGAAGTATTTTATTGCTCCTTACGTATAATCCTGACTTCAGAGTAAGGAGACAACAACGTGACTCATCTGTGTTCATTTCAGTACTGAGGCTTTAAAAGGTAAAAAGAAATATTAAGTGTGTAATACCCCAAGGCACTAGAACCACTAAATAATGAAGTAAAACACAACAAAAGGAAAAAAATATGTAAAGTGTTGGTCCTACCATAAATATATTCTTTATTTAGCTACAAGGAAAACTAACTTGTGTTTTCTCTGTAATGAAGTGAAAATCTTTTTACGACACATTCCAGCTCTCTGCTAGTGACCTCTTGCTCATCACGATGTGCGCGCTCAATTCTGTCCGTGGAGAACAACTTAGAGTAAAACAGCGTTCGCGCTCCGGCTTCTCAGAAGTCAGAGGTGAGGGGCGGGGACCTGGCGGGGGAGGCAGGAAGGAGGGAGCCAGCAGGTGTGGTCTCTGCCGTGGGGGCTGCGAAGGAGCCCCTGCGGGGACTAAAGACTCAGTGTCCCAATCTGTTACAATAAATGGGCTAAATTCATGAGGATCTTGTGGGGTGAAAACATCTGATACACTGATTAATAAGGATAATAAGAGCCGGCACTTTACAGGGGTTACAAAGCACTGTAGGAAAATAGGACAGTGTTATCGTGGCAGGAGTTATGGAATAAACGGGTTTCGATTTTCAGCCTTACGCTGAAGACACACACTTCCTTTGTCACTTTACTTTTCTTTAGCACACACTGGCTGCCACTGTTCTGTTCTCACCTTGGGTGGAAGTAGCTGTCCAGACCCCACTTGGAGAAGGGGTACCGTCCACCTGGTCCTGATGACTCTTCCAATGACCGGAGGGACCCCCAGGCTGGTACCACCAGATGGGCACCTTCAGGAAACCCTGAAGAATGGAGCATTTCTAACTTCTGTGACGTACATGCATGGAGTGAATTTCTACTTCCACAGAGAGAAATATCTTGATAACAGAAAACGTTCCTGAATGTATTACTTTTCTTTTTAGATTACTAACTGCCATACGCTACATCTGTTTATTGTTTTTACAATCAAAAGTTTAAGATCGGGGCTCTTGGGTGGCTCAGCTGGTTAAGCACCAGACTCTTGATTTAGGCTCAGGTCGTGATCTTGTGGTTTGTGAGATCGGGCCCTGCGTCAGGCTCTGTGCCATCAGCGCAGAGCCTGCTTGCAATTCTCTCTCTTCCTTGCCCCTCTCCTGCTCTCTCCCAAAATAAATTAAAAAAAAAAAAGTTTAAAGTCATAAAAATTAGTCTTTGGGATGGATGACTGGGATCCAGTGTTCTTTGCTTTGAAGTATCTTAGTAGATACACTTACTTGTAGTATCTTACCACAATAAATGACAAGTATAAACAAGATAACAAAATATTTAACAGAATAAACTGTACAAATATTTTCAGGCATTGTAAGAGCTCCACTAGTACAATGCACCTGTTAGAAGCAGTTTTCACTCATTAAAATTCCTAAAGGAACTTTATAAAGAAGGAAGAACCTATTGCTCTAAGTTGGGATTCCTATATACAAACTACAGGAAATAAAGCTGATATATTAGCCCACGTACACAAAGCCACAGATGCAAACTGTTTATGGTGGCAAAAACCACAAACCGGTTACATTATGGTAGGCCATAACCTTTGACAAAGTGATTTCAGTTCTAGGAACTTATCCCGTAGATACATGCGTGCAAATGGCACATATGCGATATTTTTTGCAGTGTTATTTATATCAACAAGAGACTGGAAACCACCTAAAACCTTGAAAAGAGACTGGTTGGATAAACCACGGTACCTCCACACAATGGACTATATTACATAGCCATCAAACAATGAAGTAGCTGTATGTATACTAACGTTATATATGGAGATAAAATATTCATGAAGAAAGGGAGGTACAGAAAAAGAATTGCAGATGATCTTTTGTGTAAAGAAAAACATGCATGTACACAAACATGTATGTATGTGCTACGTATATACACATACACACGTGTGTGCATATGTGTGCATTAAAAAGTATATACTTCTGGAAGGATACAGTGGAAACTGGTTGCCTACAGAGGGAGGGCACTGACCAGCTGGAGGGCAGGAGGGATGCTTACTTTTCCTGGCCCCGCTTTTTATACACCTTAAATTTTGTATTATGAATATTACCCATTAAAAAGTTCACTTTAAAGGTCATGGAATAAAACAGAATTCTAAGAAGTGATGCAGACGAATAAGGTGTGTGCTGATAGGAGATCCTCAGGATACAGTAAGTGAATAAAAACAAAAACCAAGTGTAAAACAATGCAAAGAATACGACCCCCTTCACGTAAACGTTAGAAGGGAACACACATATCCTTCTGTACCATTTTGCATACAAACAGGCATCAGTTTTTTCTTGGAAGGATATGCAAGGGAAAGTAAATTCATTCTCTCTCTGGGGAGAAAAATATGGGAAAACCTTTTTCATTTTATGGCCTTCCATGGTATTTGAATTTTCTAATCATAACCAAATGGTTATCTCAGTGCTGGAATCTGGGATCATTTTTTTTAAACTTTTGCCTTTACATGTGTCCACATTAAAAATAACCAAATAGGGGCGCCTGGGTGGCTTGGTCGGTTAAGCGTCCGACTTCAGCTCAGGTCATGATCTCACGGTCCGTGAGTTCAAGCCCTGCGTCGGGCTCTGTGCTGACAGCTCAGAGCCTGGAGCCTGTTTCGGATTCTGTGTCTCCCTCTCTCTCTCTGCTCCTCCCCTGTTCATGCTCTGTCTCTCTCTGTCTCAAAAAAATAAATAAACGTTAAAAAAAAATTAAAAAAAAAACACAAATAAATAATGGTCTTAAAAAGCGGTAATACGGGGGCACCTGGGTGGCTCAGTCAGTTGAGCATCTGACTTTGGCTCAGGTCACGATCTCACGGTTTGTGAGTTCAAGGCCCACCTGGGGCTCGCTGCTGTCAGTGCAGAGCCCGCCTCAGATTCTCTGTCCTCCTCTTTCTGCCCCTCCACTTGCACTAACATTAAAAAAAAAAAAAAGTGGTAACATGCAGTGTTTATTTAAGAGCTCTCAGATGTGGCTGATTAGGGATGTCAATGTGGTGCAGCTTTCTGGGAAAACAACGTGGCAAGATACAGACAGTGTCTAGTCTGTAAAAGTTCGTACCTTCTGACTTGCTGATTTTGACTCTGGAACAATTTTAAGGAGGATTTGTATTTAAGTATTAAAAAATTTAAAACGGCAATATATATGAATTAAACCATGGTAAGGCATACACTGGCTATGATGATTATTTTTGGATTTTGTAGTCAGGTTAAAAAATGAAATATGAGAAGTAGGAAATAACATTGTATACAAACTGATTTTATAAGAGGGAAATCTATAAAGATGTAGAATCTGGCAGCTGTCTGATTAGAGAACTTACCCCAAACCTTATCATTCTCTTCATGATGGGTCGTATTTCCCCACGATGAGAATATACCATCTTTGTAATCTGAAAGCAGTACCTGTGATTTATAAAATGTCAATTCAGAAGCGAAATCTTACCGGAAGAGGAAGTTTTCCTTCAATTAAAAGCAAGGTATCTCCAGAGCATATCGTAAGTTCTTTCAGGGATGCGTCCTGGGGAAAGAAATTCCTTTATGAGTTCTGACAGCAACAGAGATTAGGTTCTTCTCTTTACACCAGATGCCTCTACTACCCATTCAAGAAAGAAAGAAACAGTAAGGCAGCTATGGGGGAAGACAGGAAATAAACTGAGACTGTCAAGCAGCGTATCATCACGTATTAAATTATCGGGTATGAACCGGAGGTATCATAAAAGATTAGGGGAGGGGGGAGGTGGACAGAATGAGAAAGGATGAGAGCCTGAGCTACACAGGATGAAATTCTAGTTAAGCCTAAAGGATGGGTTTGATTTGGAAAAAGCTGGAGGAAACGAGAGAAGGAATTCTCCTGAGAAGAAAAAGGTTACGGTAGAGGTTACGTCAAGAATCCAAGAAGAGCCGAGAGATGGGCCGACCAGTGTCAGTTGGAGAGGGAACTGATCAGAGGGCGGGGGGGGGGGGGGGTGTCACAGGTGGAAGGGCTGTGAACTAGAAATAAAGGAGTTTTTAGGTGCTTTGAAAAAAGGCACTCAAGTTTTCTGAGAAGGGTGTTTAAAGACCAGTCTGGCTGCCACAGAACGACATACTGAAGTGGGGGACACCTGACTTGGGGAAGCCGGTTGGTGTAATTTAGGTAAGAGGCCAAAAAAGAAGAAAAAAACTTGGCCCAGGCAGCCAGTGGTGGGAAGAATCAGGAAGGAGTGGAGGAGTTGAGAGGTCTCCGAAGGCCAAGACCAAATACGGAGGAGGCAGGTAAGCAGGGGAGGCGCCACTGTGGGCTGAAGACACCAGGCTGGGAAACAGCAGGTCTGGGAGGAGGAGCCAGTCATGAGGACACTGAGATGGCTTTTAGACGAACCGATACCGATGTGGGAATTAACAGAGAAGAAAACGCAGAGACCACATGACCAGATACGCTCTCTGACATCCGAACCGTGTGTCCCCAAGATTCTCTGAGGTCCACTTCTTACTCTGGGCAGTCAGATTCCTGGCCAAGACTCAGAGGGACCTCTCTGTGCAGACTCGCTCAGCCCTGCACAGCGAAGAGTATTCCGGTGGGAGGGCCCCAGTCCACCTGCTTGAGTCAACCTTCTGATGATGTTCAATGCCACCACCTGTTACTGAACCGAGAGCACGCAGAGGCAGACTGCGGGAAGAGTGGCTGGTCACAAATGCCTAAGCTTTCTCACAGAGCTTCATCTTGGGGCTCCTTAGAGCCATGGTTTGATGCTACCTGAATCGGCAAGAAGACGGCTGACCAGATTCCAACTAGCCTGTGATAACACTGTTTCTAAGGCTACCGGAAGAGTCTGGATGGATCCTGAGATGCAGTTTTGATCAAAGCCCAAGTGACCGGCTGGGAAGATGAATTCTGCCATCGTTAACGTTCAGAGCAACGGAGATTAAAATATTCAGGTTTCCAAATTCAGAGTGTAGCTTCGCATTCTTTCACCGGCTCACATGTTTTCTGTTCTCTGAAGTTCTCTGTCTCTCAATGGGGAACTATTATTTCTAGGGACAAACTCTCTGAAGTCAAAAGAGGACTAACACAGCTGTTAGAAACATTCCCACGAGGCTGAGATTTTCCCTCTGTGTCAAAAGCCCACAGTAAAGAAGTAAAAGTAGACCCATGTACAGATTTTTGTGTCCTAAAAAAGATTACAGTTTTCTCTCGAATGTATTCATGAGGGGGGTAGGTATCCTGCATGAAACACAAAATAAACAATCATTTTAAAGAACAAAATGTGTATAAATAGTCTTACTTCTTCACATAAAGGCTCTCCTGCTTCATAGCACCAATCCATTTTCCGTAAATGCCATGTGTCTCCTGTGAAGGAATCAAAATCAGTATGAAAAAAAAGATGAGTATATTTTCAGAGTTTGTCAACGATGTCCCTTTTGGCTAAATGAACATCAAATGAGATCTGGTCTACTAACTACTAACTAACTTTTAAAGTAAATGATCTCTTCCAGCCATGAAAAAAATTAAGTTGTTCCTCCAGTCTGGTTAATTTGCTCTCCACCCCACTAAGATCTGCATACTTGTGAACAGAAATAATGCTTGCTGTGACTACACAATATTTACATTATACCTGTATTACTTACATGTCCACACCCATCACACACAAGTACACATATATGTACACATATACCCAAGTACAGAATCTCTTCTAAAATCATTATGAAGTTGTTTTATTTCATGGTCTTGGTTGAAAGTATATGCTCGTGTCTCTTAGCAACTGATAACATGCACAAACTATTCCCATCCAGTTATCAGTTAATCTAACAAAAAAAGTGTTTTTGAAATAGCATTTTAATGAAGTTGTTGTAAATGAACCCTTAAAAATGTAAAATATTCTTTAATTAGATTACTGGCTCTCGATATGCTTCCTATATTGAGATGAAATGGGAAATTCTTTGAGGAGGAGAGGGAAGCTGAATAGAGCAAGAGCTGGAAATCCTGGTTATGAAAAAACAAACAAACGCACCAGCCATGTCTTGTGAAGAGTGAGCCACGCCACCCACCCAGAGAAGCTGCAGCCAAAGGAGGAAACCTGGATCGCCTACTTCACCTGCACAGGCCACAGGTTTGAGTCCTTACAATACTGTTCTTTGCAGACCCTCTCCTGCCATTAGTTCTAGTTTTAAATACAGTAAGAATTACAGCAATATTTAACTTGATCTAAGTGTGTTTTAAAAACAACAAGCAAACACCACCAGGAAGCTGAAAGTGAACACCATTACTTCCAAGCATAACCCGGAAGGAAGAACTCGGGTTCTGTGGGCAGAGAGGCCCAGCTACTTGCCATGTGACTCTGAGTAAACCCTGCAGCCAGTCTCAGCCTCTGTCTGTCACCTGTGAGACGGGCACTGTTCCTGCACAGGAGTGTAAGCTCCGAGGACAGGGCCCCTTGTGCAGGCCCGTCAGCTTCCCTCCCGGCTACCGGAACCACAGGTTACCCTCCGGTGAAGTCTGAGGACCACAAATGCTCTAAGAGCTGCGTGATGCCCCTGTGAGCTGGCTCGCGTGATTCCACCCAGATACCTACTTCAAAGATTTATTTTCTTCATTTGTATTACATTCCCTAGTCTCTAGCACAAAAATCCTGGCATGAAGCACAATGCGCTGAAATTCTGAATCCATGACGTTAAAAAGAAAAAGAAAAAAAAAAACCCATCAGTGAACAGCCTGGGTAATTCTGGAGGGCATAAATCCTAACTGTGCCAGTGTCTGCTAACCCACAGCCAGACTTCTTCGAGCTTGCAAATATGAACCAGGAGACTTCACTATGCACACACAGAGGTGTAAAGTGTAACAGACCTGGCCCAAAAATGTCTGAAAAGCTTTCATTAGGCTTGCAGGTAATTTATTCTAAGGATATAGATAAGACTGCATCATCGTGGTCTGTAACTTACCTGGTAGGCCAGACTTCTCCAGCATGAGCTTTAAACACTGTTTAAAAAGAAAACACACACACACAGACACACATAGAAAAACCATGTTCATTAGTTTTCTGTTTTTGAGTTACAGTACTGTGAGAGATACCCCTTTTGGACCCTGGGCCTATTTTATGACATTTAATAATTCCCGAAGACATCAGGATGTACATAGCCACAGAGAGGATTTAAGCAAGCTCTGCTTCCTAAGAGCTGAAGCAAACCCAGGAGGGAAAAACAAGTTCCTGGTGTTTGCATCTCAGACTTAGATGCACCCAGGTCTATAGTGTGACCTTCTGCTTGTGAGGACCAACACCACGGTTTTGACTGGATAGGATTAGACTGATTTCACAGATACACATTGAACTGAACCTTACAAAGAGAGATTAGTCTTTATGTAGCACTCAAGAAATACCACTGGTCATCTATAAACTCACAGAGAAAGATCTGTGCAGGTGGCGACCCCACAGCACAACGCAATAAGCGAGATGTGATTAACACAAGTTTAAATAATAATAAAAAATAGAAACTCCCAACTTCCTGACGGAAAAAACATTCTCAAATTAACTGAGAACAAAAGAGTAGATAAAACGTGATTTATACTACACCAGAGTGGAAGGAAGAATAAGGAATAAAAAAAAAAAAAGAGCAAAGGATCAAAATATCCATTAACAGGGGAACATTTAAATAAGCTATAAGAGGTCTTAAAACAGCTAAAAGGATACAGGAGATTTACATGCACTGATCTTAAAAGATCTTTAAAATATCTGAAGTGAAAATTCTAGTATAATACATGCAGCGTGATCCCATTTATGATGTAAAAGAAACCATGCGAAGAAGCCCAGCCCCTCGTCTGTACATACATACACACACACACACACACACACACACACACACACACCTCCCCATGTTGGTCCGTGCATGTCCAAAGTCTGGAAGGACACACATTCACGGGTGTGGTCAGATCACACCTTCCCAAGACAATGGTGACTTCTGAGGGACCAGCACGGGCTGGTGACCAAGGAGGATCTTTAGCACTGCCCAACCCGCCCCCAGGGAATCCCCGAGTAGCTGTAGGACTAAAAATAACAAAGACTGTTTAGAAAAAGAGGACAATGAGAACACATCACATTAACACACAGGGAATGGGGCGAAGCTGCAAAACACACTGCGGTCTTCACAACAAGCATTATTTAAGCAACACAAACAGGGACTCCTGGGGGCTCAGAGTCTTGATTTCAGCTCAGGTCATGATCCCACGACCCTGCACCCTGAGCGTGCAGCTTGCCTGCTAGTCTCTCTCCCTCTCTCTCTGCCTCTCCCCAACCCACGTGTGCTGTTTTAAGGGCTAAATTGTAGTGTAGGGCTAATGCTTAGCTTGAAAAACAACAGCATTGTGTTGACACTGAAGGTTAAGAGATAACATCCTTGCTTTGCTCTGGTAAACTACCCCTCATACTCTTGTAAATTAGGCTTCACCAATTAAGGAAACAAAAGTTCAAAGAAAAGAGCATCAGAGGCAGGGTCAAGGAGATCCACTGGTTGCAACTTAGAGGCAGAAAGTCTAAAGTAAACACCTCATTAGGCAACTGTTTCTAACTCATCTGGAAACTGTTTCTTTGTTCTGTTCCCAGGTGATGATAAAACGATGTGATCGTTATAAAAACTCTGTACCCCGGCTGTTCGGGGCCGCACTCTTATTAAGAGTGTTGGTCCCGATCGGTCGGCCTTGCCTCTCATTGTAATAAACTTTGTTGTGACTGTCACTGGTGCCCGTAGCATTCTGTTTCAGGAGTCATGTGGATGCAACACTGTGTGCACACTCAAAAAAAAAAAAACAAAAAGCAAAAAAACCAAACCAAAACAAAAAACCACCAAACAAACAAAAACACAAACAGCTAGACATCCACCTTAGCTGTGTTCTAAGGAGGGGAATGGCCGATGTAAAGGCCGTGTTGGGGAACAGCATGGAGGCCAATGTGGCTGAGCAGAGTGAACACTCAGGGCCTCTGGCCGTGGCTGTGAATGAGACAGGGAAGCACAGAAGGGCTTTGAGTACAGTAAAGGGATCACTCAACTCCTCTGTAGGAACAGACCCTGGGAACTGCAAGGCTGGAAAGACAAAGATCCATCAGGAAGCGGATGGAATAATCCAGATGAGAGCTGACCAAGGTGTGGCAGTGGAAGGAATGAGAGAGATGTAGCCAGATCCTAGATAAATTTTGATGGTAGAACCAAAAAGACTTCCTGAAGACCCGGATGTGAAATAAAGAAAAGAATCAAGGACGACTCCAAGGTGTTTTGGCGTAAGCAAGGAGAAAAATGGAGTCGCTACCATCAACCGACAGAAGCTGGAAGGGTGAGTGAGGCCCGGAGACAGGTGAGAGGACAGATGTACAGAGCAGGGGTGTGATGATCTGGGATGACGATCAGACAAGCAGGCAGCAGCTGGATACCCAAGCATGGAGCTCTGGGGCGAGGTCCAGTCTAGGAACTGAGCGCTGGGGTGCTGACGAGGGGAAAAAAGAGCATAAAGCAAACTGTGAAGGGGTAGGCCTGTGAGGCGAAGGAAATCCTGACGCCTTGTGGTCTCTTGAGGCCAGTGACAAAAGTGTTTCAAGGAACAGAGTCACTGGGGCGCCTGGGGGGCTCAGTCAGTTAAGCGTCCGACTCTTGATTTCGGTTCAGGTCACGGTCTCAAGGTTTGTGAAATCGAGCCCCACATTGGGCTCTATGCTGAGCATGGAGCCTGCTTGGGAATCTCTCTCTGTCCTTCCCCTGCTCGTGCTCTCAGAATAAACAAACATTAAAGAAAAAACAGGAACAGAGAGGCATCAATCGTGTCAAAATGCCATGGAGAGCAGGAAGATGACAAGTGAGAACTGCTCCCGGGGCACAGCAACACAGAGGGAAGGAGTCTGCCTGCAGTGGGTTCAAGAGAGCGGAAAGATACGCACATCACATCGCTACTTCGGAAAGTTCTGTGGTTTCTTTTCTTTGAAGTTAAAAAGAACCAAAAAGCTATACGGCAAATGAAAAACCAGGAAAATATTTACAGCAGGTAACAAAAGGTAACAAAAAATGTTCTGCCACGGACCATTTCAAACACGTTGCAGGGGTGGTAAACACAAACCGCCCACACCCAGCCCCCGATCTCCATGCCTGCCCTGGCCCGGCTGGTGCGTCCATATTCCCCTCAGGTTCTTTGAAGCGAGAATGTCAGCCATCGTATCATTTATTAACTTCTGTACTCATCTCTAAAAGATGAACATTCTTTAAAAAAAAAAACGTGAACCGAGAACAATTATGACATCTGAAAAACTTAGGAATTCCTTAATAACAAACACCCAGTTGGTGTTCACATTCCCCCGTTTTTTCCTTTTTTTAGTAATAAGCTCTATGCCCAACGTGGGGCAAGAGCTCATGACCCTGAGATCAGGAGTTGCGTGCTCCACCGACAGCCAGCAGAGGCATCCCTAATTCCCTGAGTTTCTCTTAAACCGGGACTAAGTTTTAGTGGTTTGCCCTTGCTCCCCCTAAGTGTCCCGAGTCCCTTTTAACCTCATCCTGCCACCGATGTCATGAAGAGGAGTTTTCCACCTTGGGACTGTGCAGATGGTAGCCCTGCGGTGCGGGAACACATCCCTCTGTCCCCTTATTCCTTATACACTGCTCCTCAGACCTAAAAGCTCAGGTCCACTATTTTTTTCTGGTTGTTGTTGTTGTTGTTTTTGTTTGTTTTTTTCTAAAAGAGCATGGGTATCAATTTGGAACTTCTATAATGTCTAGGTTGTTAGCGGTCTTTCAGGATCATTGTTTAGATCCATTAATTCCCTAGGAGTTAAAAAAAACTGTGACAGTCTAAAATTCTTTCTTCATTTTATTAGCTGAGATAGGTCTATAAAAAAACCTTCTCATTACCTATTTGGTTACCCTGCAGTATCGTTTCCAAAAGAAAAAGGGGAAGAATGCTCGATCCCTTTCCTTATGGCTCACTCGTGTCCACTCTGTGTAACCAATGAAGACGGTCTTTTTAGGATCATTCTCAACTCATGAATTTTATGTATGTGGTATGTGTACTCATCAGCTTTACGATTATTCCTACAAAAGCTCCAACGGTCTTATCTGTGACCAGCAGAAGCCTCTTCCAAGGTGGCCCTGGAACTTCTCTGCTGCTCCCAGCAGTCTTTGCTAGCCTACTGCTTCTGTGAGCACAAGACGTTCCAGGCTCACCAGACATGTTCCTGACCTAGATACAGAATCAATGGCTACCTCAAGAAGCCCTAATTCCTTCTAGTAGGAAATGGTATTTAGTAATCGCAATCTGGGCGCTGGGGCTCACTCCCGCCTGGCCAGTCACTGTATCTAAGCTGTTCTAGGGGACTGAGCTAGAAAAAAAAATTTAAAAACACCAAGATCATTCTGTCTCTTCTGATCCAAATTCAGGAGTGCGGGCTCTATGCAATTACACCAATGTTATGTGTGTTTCCATTTACCAACACCGAAAGTCCTAGTTCTTAGTGACACTAATACAATTCTTCGTTTGCTTTACCCTATACACACACACATTCATGACTGTGCGTGTCATTATGAATATAACCTAAAAACACCAGTAGGAAATATGCCAAAATGTTAACATTAGTGAGATAAAGGATAATGAGGTTTTAATTTTTTCTTTTAATCCATTTCTACATAGCCCAGAGTTTTTATTTTTATTTTTTTAAATTTACATCCAAGTTAGTTAGCATATAGTGCAACAATGATTTCAGGAGTAGATTTCTTAATGCCCTTTACCCATTTAGACCATGCCCCCTCCCACACCCCCTCCAGTAACCCTCTGTTGGTTCTCCGTATTTAAGAGTCTCTTATGTTTTGTCCTGCTCCCTGTTTTTATATTATTTTCGCTTCCCTTCCCTTATGTTCACCTGTTTTGTATCTTAAAGTCTTCCCAGATTTCTGTAACAAACAAGTATTATTGGTAATCAAAAAAGAAAAAAAATAATCATCTTATTTTAAAACTTTGGGTTGGCTCACCAATTTCCGAGTTCCCCAAATTACTCTTTTAATGCATGCACAGAATTCTTTAAAATATATTACGTGAATCCTAACCTCAGGACCTCAAAACCCAAACACGGGTTCCCACAGCTCCCTAGACCAAACACCCACAGACCTTTCCCCACGCCCAAAATAGTAAAATTACTTACATCTCTCGCAGACATGGTTTCTTCTACGATGATCTCCATCTCTGTACCAGGCTGAACATCACTCCCCACAGTGAAAAACAGGAACAGCTAAGATCAATGAATGCGATTTAATCTAAATTTTAAAATTTTATACATGTGTTATTTTCTTCCAGAAAATACAAGCCAACGCATGGAATTTTAATAAGAAACTCATATTGTATACAAATAAAGATGCAATTTAAACAATAATCTCAACCACCTAGAAACCTAAGACGCTCACACCATTGTTTTTACTCCTGTAGGTACTATTGTGTCAATGTTTGTCTGTCACAGGTATTATTTATTTCACTATGATCTTCACTTCTTTCTCAGTCACTCCTCAAAAGGATTTGCTACACACTGTAAGCATTAGCTGGGTTTTTTCTCTGTCATTTGGTTGTGATCTTATTTTCTGTCCAGGGAATCTGATCTGTCAGTTCATTTCCTTTCAGACTCAATCTTACTTGTCACATTCCCCCGCCACAAGCTTGTCATGCACTCCGACATGCTAAAGTTCACGGTAGGAACGAATTAAAGAGGAGGGAGCTGGGACACTAATGAAGTGGCTCCAGGAACCACAGGGATCCTGACAGGAGTCTAGCTTCCCTGGATACAGTCTTAACAGTAAGGACACTGACTTTTGGATGGTAATACAGTTTATTACAAAAGGTAGGGCTTCTCGCAAAGGTCGACCTGATATCTTACACAGAAAATGAATACTGATTAAAAAGAGACCTGCTATGAGACTATTAGACTCCTGCAGAGAGTAATTCGGGGCAAGATCAATACGCTGTTTTCATTCAAGCTAAGAAGCCGTGGCGATTACTCATTACTTTCTGTACCTCTAACAAAGAAACAGTGTCAGAAGCAATCACAGACGCTACAGATTGTGGGATGGATCCTAATCTCACGGATGTCAAGATGTGGGGGGAAAAGGACGCATTTTAGGTTCGAATAGATGGCCACTCAACTTTAGATGCCCCCCCTTAACACAAAATTTGCACAGAAAAAGAACTTGATGAATATACTCTGACAGGATATTCTTGATTTAAACACGAAGAACCATATGGATGTATGCCTAACATAAAAGGTACCACTTAAGAAAGAAACTTCTATGAAAAACAATTACTGCTGCAGTAGTTAAGGTAAGAATTATGAAATTAAGAACTTCTGGGAATGCCTGGGTGGCTCAGTCAGTTAAGTGTCCGACTTCGGCTCACGTCATGATCTCGTGGTTCTTGGGTTCGAGCCCCGCGTTGGGCTCTGTGCTGACGGTTTACAGACTGGAGCCTGCTTCAGAGTCTGTATCTGCCTCTCTGCCCCTCCCTTGCACACGCTCGCTCTCTCTCTCTCTCTCTCTCTCAAAAACAAATAAACTTTAAAAACAGAAAAAGAACTTCTGACTCTGGGAAGGCTGATTCTGTACCTGGGAGGGAGTTGGTGCTTTCCCAGGACACAGTCCCAATGAACTGCCCATCTTCAGTTCCGCTTCCTTCACGGTGTAGCTGTCTGGCACTACAAAGAATGTGGATAACATGATGAGTGTTAGGAATTCCTACCTCTCTGGGCAAAATAACATACTGAAATCAGTATTTCTTTGCAAATCAACAGTGTCAAGAAAGAAAAAAAATGAGGTGCACTCCATGCAAAAAGATTACCTATACGATAGTTAAGTTTGATTTTCAATTTCCACACTCTAGAGTTATCTGTACAACAATGCTAAGAAATAAGAGGCAGCTATCTATGAGCCACTGTTTACATGGATTCAACGTTTATTTATTTTGGGGACAGAGAGACAGAGCATGAATGGGGGGGGGCAGAGAAAGAGGGAGACACAGAATCGGAAACAGGCTCCAGGCTCTGAGCCATCAGCCCAGAGCCCGACGCGGGGCTCGAACTCACGGACCGCGAGATCGTGACCTGGCTAAAGTCAGACGTTTAACCGACTGTGCCACCCAGGCGCCCCTGTTTACACGGATTCAAAGCGAGATATTCCCCACTGATTCCTGAGTGATGGACCAGCCTCTTCCACATTTAAAGCTGCTGTAGTGACCGCCATTGATTATTTAAGTCGAATGACAAGGTGCATTTCAGAGGCGAGAGCAAAAACTGTTTCACAACTGCTCTCACGATAAAATGAGCAACACAAATAAAACACTTTGACAATAAATCTAGAAAGATAGGACTCGATCAAAACAACAGCCTAAAATGAGGATCAGCTTATCAGAAAGGCAGGCGTTTTCCTTTAGACGACACAAGTGTCTGAATTTCTGGTTAAGATTTTCTGTAATACGTGAAGATGGCACTGGGACCATAAAATGTCCTAAAAATTAGTTTCCAAAAGGTAAATTTAAGGATGTTAAGCACTGGAAGCTATTACCGGAAGTTAAGTGTTAAGAAGGACCGATGGCACGAGTGTGCGTAGGTTCTGAAGGCTCCCGCGATTTACCTGGACAGAGAAGCTTCCCGTTTCTACCAATAGGTCTCAAACAGCTGTTCTCAGCTAAAAATAAAAAGAAGCTGGTTAGTGCACCAAACCAAACTAAGGAGAGATGCTTTACTGTGTTAATTAGCAGAAAGGTACAATGAGCTACAAGACAAAACCCCCCAAGTATAGGCAGCGTTCACTTCGCGGGAGCGAGCACCAAGGGAGTGCCGGTCAAGCTGAAACAGCGCAAAGCCAGCCTAGTAGCCACGAGGGCCACTGCAGACGTCCTGTGACCTTTCAGCACTGTCGTTAAAAAAACATTTAAAGGGGTGCCTGGGTGGCTCAGTCAGTTAAGCGTCCGACTTCGGCTCAGGTCACGATCTCACTGTTTGTGAGTTCGAGCCCCGCGTCGGGCTCTGTGCTTACTGCTCAGAACCTGGAGCCTGTTTCAGATTCTGTGTCTCCCTCTCTCTCTGACCCTCCCCTGTTCATGCTCTATCTCCCTGTCTCAAAAATAAATAAAACGTTAAAAAAATTTAAAAGAAAAAACAAACAAAAAACAAAAAACATTTAAATCTCTGTTGGTTATGAGTGTATAGTGAAATTAAAACAAATAGTAAAACTAATATTTAAAACACTAGAGACCCTGAGAATACTTTTTTTTTTTTTTTTGTAAAAAACATAGCAAGACGAGTTTACACAGGGCTCTCTTCTTGTCGGAGAGCTTACAATCCGGAGGGGGCATCTGGTCTATCCCCTGGCAAACGTTCATAATCTAAGTTGGGTCTGCTTCCAAAATTTCCTACGTTGTGCTCAACCTCATGAAGTCCTCCAGGAGCTCCTTTTTTTTTTTTTTTTTTGAGTTTTTTATCTATTGATTTTGAGAGAGAGAGCCTGAGTGAGGGAGGGGCAGAGAAAGAGGAGACGGTGAGAATCCCATGGCACTGGCAGTGCAGAGCCCGATGCAGGACTTGAACTCACAAACCGTGGGATCATGATGTGAGCCAAAATCAAGAGTTGGCCGGTTAAACAACTGAGGTGCCCCTCCAGGAGCTCCTTTAACGTGAGGTTCTCTGCCAGCGCCACGTCCTCTGGAATGTCGCCATCCTTTCTGTCACAACCACTTTCCTCACATTCATTCACGTCCTCTGGCTGCACATCTGGTTTCTAGAGCTGCGCAGTGCCATCGTGCCCACGGTTAGCTACTGCTATCCCTCTGTGTACCTTCTTGGCTGCACCCTCATTTTGTGGAGCGATCGGTTAGCCATTACAGTAGAAAGCGCGCAGGTCACCACAGAAGGGGGGACAGATCGCACGCTGTGCTGCGGTGAGATGAATCCCTGATCATGAGGCACGTCTGCTGTTTAAGCAGTGATCTGTGCAATGAAGGGCGAGTAGCAAAGTTTGTACTTCATGCAATTACTCAGTTGATGTCCAGTGTAGCTGGCATTTGAACCATGTTGCCGGGTGGCTGATGTTACGTAATGAGCCACGGTAACTGACATTCGTGCCCACTTCCTATGTGTAAAATACATTAAGTGACTTTTATGCTTATTAAACGGATTAGGCCCCTACTTTTGTGGGGGTGAGGATTCCTGCTTTGTGGGGAGGAGCCCACCAGGTTTTGAGTCCAGACAGAATTCTTAAATGGCCAGATATGAGTAGGGGGCTGGGAGGATAAGAACAGCATGGGCCTTCCCAGCTCCCACTCTGCCAGACCACAGCAAATCTCTGAAATTCTGGAGTTCTCCATGTTACACGGTGGTAATATGAAGCTAGCAAACAATTCTAACACAAGTTTCTTGACAACTGAAACAGCTTATGGAGAGTTCTTCAACTTAAAAACATGCATTTTAAATACCACCTCCTTAAAACAGTCTCCTTTGATTCCACGAGCCGCATCGCCTATGTGCCAGACCCGCTCTAGAAGCGGACGGTGTGGCGGGAGGCAGAATAGCTATGGAGCCTGTGCTCAGAGGCTCGGCTGCTGGGGAAAGGGGTGCAGGTAGGGCCCCAGCGCTACAAGGGAGGTACGGGGTATCAGGACAAAACAGACAGCAGTGCAGACTGCGTGTTCCGGGATGACGGGAAGTAACATTTCTGCTGGGGTAACTGAGTGAAGTGAGTGAAGAGGAGGGAAGGGGACAGAGCTGAGGGAGGAGACAGCCCTGAGAAGTTGGGTGAGGTGCGGCACAGCCGGCGCACTGGAAACCCAGAAAGCCAGCACGGGGAGTGTCTTGTGAATAAGCAGAGGAGGGGACCAGAAAGAAGTCGGAGGCCGCGGTCAGAGGAGGCCAGGTCTTGGAGGAGAGGGCGGGGAAGGAGGCTCCAGAGAGCTGGGCAGAGAGTGATACAATCGGATTCGCATCCATTTAAGAAGACCACTTGCTCAATGGAGAACGGCTTGGAGGGGAGCAAGAGTGAAGGAAGGGAGGCCGGTTTCACAGAAGAGGGTGAAGTATTCATTTTAATAAGCCAAATGCTTTCAATTTGAGGTGCAGGTTACAATAAAACACATCCAGTTTACGTGTACAAAGAGTCTGATTTAAACAGTGAGCAACCACCTGCAAACGGAGCTAGATTAGCCACATCCCTCAAATCCTTCATGTTACCTTGCAGTCAACCTCCACCCCCAATCCGATTTTCCACCCCTGTAACTACAGCTTAGGTTTTCTTTTTTGAAAACTTCATGTAAATGGAAGCGTAAGAATATGAATTCTTCCGTGCCTAGTTTCTGCTCTGCACTCCGAGAGTCTACATGTTTCGCAGGTGGTGGTTGTTTGCGGCTCTTACTGATGAACAGCATCCCTCTAGAAGGCTACACCGTAGTGAGCTCACCCATTCACAGGCGCGTGGGCTTCTGGACTGTATCCGGTTTTCGTTACGAACACCGTATAGTGTTTGTAAGGATAGGTTTGAGTTCTCTTGGGTAAGCACCTAGGACGGGTAAGTGAACGTTCAAACTCATACTAAGCGGACTGTCTACCAAAGTGGCTACCGCTTTACACCCCCACCAGCACCAAGCGGGGGCTGCACAAGCCCCACATCTTCGCCAACACCGGGTTTGCCAGTGACCGTAAGCATCCCGCTGGGTGTGCGGTGCTGTGTTGTCACGGTTGCAGTCTGATGGCTGATGACACCGAGCATCCTTCCCCGTGCTTCCTGGTCATCCACAGAGAGACGTGCTTTTGTAAAGCGTCCTCCCAGTGTGGGGTTGGGCTGTCTTCTGATTACGGTACAAGCACATTTTATGTGACCTGGATGCAAGTCTATTGTCAAATGTGTGTTACACAAATTGTTTTCCTCCCAGTTTGTGGCCTGTCTTTTCAAATGTCTTTTAAATACAGAGGTTTTAGGGGCGCCTGGGTGGCGCAGTCGGTTAAGCGTCCGACTTCAGCCAGGTCACGATCTCGCGGTCCGTGAGTTCGAGCCCCGCGTCGGGCTCTGGGCTGATGGCTCAGAGCCTGGAGCCTGCTTCCGATTCTGTGTCTCCCTCTCTCTCTGCCCCTCCCCCGTTCATGCTCTGTCTCTCTCTGTCCCAAAAAAATAAATAAACGTTAAAAAAAATTTTTTTTTTAAATACAGAGGTTTTAAATTTTAATATTGCCAATTTGTTAGTTTTTTCTTTTATGGTTTGTGCCTGTTGAGTCCTGATTTAAAAAAATCTTTTCGTTATGACAAAGTAACAAAGATTTTCTCATAAGTTCTCTCCTAGAAATTGTATATAAATGGTTTCAACATTTAGGTCTATGATCCACTTAGAGTTAGTATTTTACATGATATAAGGCAAAGCTAGAGTATCTAGCACCTTACCTTGAAAATATACTCGTTTTCCCCAGGGAAACACTTTTGCTCTTTTGTTAAAAGTCAACGGATTAGGGGTGCCTGGGTACCTCAGTCAGTTAAGCATGCAACTTTGGCTCAGGTCATGATCTCGTGGTTCCTGAGTTCAAGCCCCACGTCAGGCTCTGTGCTGACAGCTCGGGGCCTGGAGCCTGCTTCCGATTCTGTGTCTCCCTCTCTCTCTGCCCTCCCCCCTCATGCTCTCTCTCTTGCTCTCAAAAATAAATAAACATTAAAAAAAAAAAGTTAACGGACTATACATATTTGTACCTATTTCTGGATTCTCAATGTGGTCCCAATATAAATATTTTAAGTTCAAAACCACATACAGTCTCTATTCCACATTCTTCTTAAAAGAGTCCTTTAAAAGTATGAAAATTATTCTCGGCTCACTGACTGCAAAGAAACAGGTTACAGGCTTAGGCAGCTTGCTGCCCTATGTTTACTCCTATGCCAGCACCCACTGTCTTGATGCCTACAGCTTCGGACTGAATCTCGAAATCAGACAGGGTAACTCTTCCAACTCTGTTCCCCACCCCCACCCCCAAACTGTCAGAATACTCTAGGTTCTTTGCACTTCCATGTAAATTGAATCAGCCTGTCCATTTCTACACACACACATACACAAGCAAAACCCGATAGCATTTTGAGTGAGGAGGATGCATTCAATCTACAAATCGATTTTGGGAGAATTCACCTCTTAACAATGTCGTCTTTTCTGATCCAAGAACACGATACAGTGCTCCGCTTATTTAGGTGTTGTTTGACTTTTCACAACAAATTTTTTTTGTCGTAAGTATATATATACGTCTTGCACATATTTCGTTAAATTTATCCCCAAGTTTATCATGATATCTCATGCTATTGTAAATGTTTTCTTAATCTCATTTTCCATTTTTTTTTGTTGCTAGTAAACAAACAACGGACTTTTGTGTATTAATCCTGACTTCTTGCTAAGCTTGCTAATTTTAGTACCTTTTTAGTAGAATCCTTTAGATAGACAGTAGGCACATCAAAAGTGCTCACAACTGCTGCATTAGGAAAATAAATTAAACACAATGACAGCAATTCATATCCACTAGAATGACTATAATCAAAAAGATACTTACAAACACTGGCAAGGATATGGACAAACAGCAATGCTGATACATTGCTAGTGGGGATGTAAATGATTCAGCCACTTTGGAAAGTAGTATGGCAGTTTCTTATAAAGTTAAACATACATTTGCCATATGACCCGGCAGTTACAATCCTATATAGCTACCCAAGAGAACTGAAAACATGTCCACACAGAGACTTGGATGTAAATGTGTACAGTGGCATTATTCATAAAACCCTAAAACTAGAAACAATGCAAATGTATATCAACTGGTAGATGAATAAGCAAAACGTGATCCATCTGTACCACTGAGTATTTAGTCAGCAATGAAAAGGAACACACTTCTGGTACACCCTAAATCATGGATAAACCTCAAAAATGGTATGCTAAGTGAAAGAAGTCAGACACAAGGGACTACAAACCATATGTCTCTGTAAGTCTACAGAGACAGGAAGTAGACGAACGGCTGTCGGGGTTTGGAATGCAAAAGGTGCATGAGGGATCTTTTTTTTTTTAAGTTTATTTATTTATTTTGAGATTGAGAGAGAGAGCGAGCGAGCGAGTAAGAGTAGGGTAGGGGCAGAGAGAGGCAGGGAGAGAGAATTCCAAGCAGGCTCCACGCCGTCAGCACAGAGCCCAATGCAGGGCTCGAACCCACGAACTGTGAGATTATGACTTGAGCCGAAATCAAGAGTCGGATGGTTAACCAACTGAGCCACCCAGGCACCCGGCATAAGGGATCTTTTTGGAGCAATGAAATGTTTGGAAACTGGACTGTGCTGATGGCTGTACAACTCCATACATTTACTAATCATCGCTGACACTTAAAATGCATATCTCATAGGATGTAAATTATACCTCGATAAAGCTGTTAAAGAAAACCTAATGCTGAGTGACGAGTAGGTTTCAGAATGTTATATTCAGTATGACAGAATTAATTTAAATGTGAAAATACACACATACATCTCTATGTGGAAGCATAATATAGAAGTACAATACGAACACATACACTAGACACACACCCAAATCAGATACACTGGTTGCATCTGGGGAGGGAGAGGGACTAGGTCTGAGGAGCAGGACACAGAGAATTTTAACTGTATTTGCAATGTTTCAAACAACAATAAACACATGACAAAATGTTAACAATTGTCCATTTTGTGTGGTAGGTGCATGAATTTTCCCTGTTACTTATTTGAGAGAGAGACAGAGACAGAGACAGAGACAGAGAGAACACGAACACGCATGCACGAGCTGGGGGAAGGGGCCAAGAGAGAGAATCTTAGGTAGGCTCTATGCTCAGTGCGGAGCCCAATGCAGGGCTTGATCCCACGACCCTGGGATCGCAACCTGACCCAAAATCAAGAGTCGGACGGTCAACTGACTGGGGCCACCCAGGCACTCCTGAATTACTTTTTGTATTCCCACAGTTTTTTCAACCAAAAATCAAAACAAAACTAAATTAAACCCCAAAACCCGAAAGCAAACGTAAATGATTACCTAGTTCCTTCATTAATTTTAATTCCTTTATGGCTTTAATTCGAATCTCATACACCACCTAAAATAGAGAAATGAACTAGTGACTCTGCGGGAGAACAACGGGAGGGGACAGCATGAGGTCATCAGTGCGCACGTAAACAGGTTAGCTGCCTTACCAGTTACTGGACAGGGTTTCGGCCTACTTGAAAAAAGATTTTTTTTTCCTTTTCAAATTTTTTTTTTCAACGTTTATTTATTTTTGGGACAGAGAGAGACAGAGCATGAACAGGGGAGGGGCAGAGAGAGAGAGGGAGACACAGAATCAGAAACAGGCTCCAGGCTCTGAGCCATCAGCCCAGAGCCCGACGCGGGGCTCGAACTCACGGACCGCGAGATCGTGACCTGGCTGAAGTCGGACGCCTAACCGACTGTGCCACCCAGGCGCCCCCTTGAAATTCATTTTCTATCTTCTACCAAGTTAAAAATAAAAACTCAGATCTTAATAGTTAAGATTTTACCAAACTGATGTTAACTGGAGCAGAAAGAAGACACTTATGGAAAAACTTAAAGCAATTCTAGCTATAAAGGCAAAAAGCTGAAAACCCACTAACCTTTTTAATGAGAGCAAACAAAAGAAAACAAAGTTAATGGTATTTGTTTATGTTAAGAATGACGAATTCAGGGCCAATGAGCATAGAAAATATAAAAATGTACAATGCTAATCCAAGGGCACTATTTAAATCTGTTTAAATCATTTTATCTATATTGTTTTTTTTTTCCTTTTTGGTTTAGGCTAATTGCCTCTAGGGCATGAAACTGGAAATTCAGCGGTAAAGTGATGTCAGCGATCACGGACAGGATCCTCCCAGCAGCGCCCCAGAAGATGCCAAGAAGGGACAAGGACTGAGTAACCAGGACTCCCCAAAGTCCTCACTTAGGGTCAGGATGGCAGGTCTCTCGAGCTTCAGGGCACCAGCCTTATACTGTCCCCTCTACTGTACCAACAAATATTAATGCACCGTAAGAAATTAGAGTATTTAAAGAAAACATTTTAACAGGTTTCTTTTGATGTTATAGATAAAAAAACCTCAATGAACTGAGAACACGTGAATATAAAAAGAGGTTTCCTGGAATGATGTTTAAGGAAATGAGGGTCACGGTCTTCACGTGGAAAAGTGAAGAATCACTTTTAAGAGCAGCTGGCTTTATACAGAGCATGTAGAGCAAATGAAGATCAACAACAACACAACACGAAAGTAAAACATATATGCCTGGTTTAAAAACTAGAGAAAAGGTCGTAGGAAAACAACATTTTATATTTATCGAAGCCAGCAGATTCCATGAACTAATTAAATAGGCAAATCCTATATTCTAACTCCAGCCTCTAGAGGGAAAAAACGGCCCATATTTTCTTGAAATAAATATGCCACTGATACAGGTAAACGAGCAATAATCAAATGTTAGTAATAAAATTTTTATTTCCTCCCCCCTCCCTTTTTTTTTTATTAAAGTAGGTTCAACGCCCAACATGGGAGTTTGAACCCATGACCCTGAGATCGTGAGTCGCATGCTCTACTGACTGAGCCAACCGGGTGACCCCAAAAGTTGATTTCTTTAGATCTAGAAGCCCACTGAGACAACTGTCCTGAACACTTTGGGTACTGCTTTCCATGTCAAATTCTGTCCGACTAGAAAACCGTCCTCCAAACTTGAGGTGTAACCTACTCACTGTGTTCACAGTTGCTGATATTTTAACTTGCTTCTCCTCAGACTCCACCTCGCATAAATTTTGAACTTGGAGCCAGCTGGTCTCACTCGCACCAGTGAACCATTTCCCTTGTCTGAGCAGCAAACTGTAGGGAAAAAGACATTTAAAAAAATGGGTTTTTACACAGCACTTCTACAGATCAGAAAGGATCGGAAAATTAACACTTTCTCTTATGCGCTATTTCCAAAATTCCGCAGGCATCTCTGACGTGACTGACTGCAGGTAACCAGGGCGTACGGAGCTGGCTTTAAGGAAGCAGACTATGCTTTTAGGGCAGCGTTAGGCAGTAGGTCTACAGGGTCTGTATTCAGGACTCCAACTATTCTTTGGCTCATACAAATAACCTGGTGCCACGTTTTTCATCTTGTGTGTTGCCACCGTTTTCAAAGAGAAGTGTCAGAGCGCTTACACCTGCACCTGGAACCACCAGGGAAGCCGGCCCAGGGCACGGAGGCTCGGTCTTCGCTTCTCCGTTCCCCAAGTCCTAACACACATATGTTATTTTTTATAAAGGAACGTATAATAAACTTTTAAATTAAATCAACAAAGTGCGGAAATAAATGCCTGGAAAACACTCGTCCCAAAGAGCGGTAGTAATAGATGTGATACAAAATAACAGCGGTTCTGAGTGCCCTATGTCACGGCCACCATTACTGACAATACGGAGCCTGTAATGTAAGCATATTCATGGCACTGGTCAAGGAGCGAACTCATTTGTTGATGGCAACCTCAAGTCCTCAGTAGACGGAAAGCTGGTGGGTGACGGTGAAGGACACATTGACCACAGAAAAGCACCACAACGGACGTGGGTGACAAGCGGAGAGACGCGGCACTTCGGAGCATCCGTGTGACTCATGGGGACCAAAGTTATAATTCCCGACATTAAGTGCCATTTCTGGGCAGATGGGAGGGTCTCAGGAGTCAGAAAAAGGATTGTGATGAAAACTGGAGTTGCCTTCTGGGAATCTTGTGACAAAATGGACAAATTTAGCTGTATCTTAATATCCTCCTCATGAAAAAATTCAGGAACTTTGTGAGAATGCGCCTTCGGTTTTGTAGTGAGTGCTAATCAGAACTGATTTGCGAAGATTCTGCTTTATAAAAAACCAGACTACATCTCATCTACACCTATATTACCGGCCATACTTACTGGAAAAATTAAAAAAAAAACCAAAAACCCATTTCAGTATCATCTTTCCTCCAAGCTGCCTAACCCAGAACACTCCTGTATACAGTGCACAAAACACGATGTTTAGAAACAGAAAGAAAATACTGAACTCTTACCATTATTAAAATAAAGCTTTAGAGTTCTAAGAGATAGAAAAACTATAACTAAAATTTCTTAAAAAGGAATTCTCTTATGTTTCAGCAAGCTACCTCTTATCATCGTTAGACTCCTGAACGAGAACCGAGCTCCCGTTCCCGAGGCCCTGTTCTCTGAACGTCTTCTTCAGATCTTCCTCGGGAATGGCGGCCCAGTTCTCTTCCCCGACAGAGTCGGTGGTGCTGACGAAGAGGACGGCTACGGGCATTGCCAAGGCTGTGAGCACAGCCCGCACTTCTGCATTGGATGGGAACACATGTGGGGCCTCTACCAACTGCTGACACTTTTCCCCCTGGCTGCTTGCTGCGAGATGAAGAACATTTATGAGCACAGGCTCACAGTCGCTACCGGTTGGAATGTGGATGCCACCAACCTACGATGACAGCAAGACAAGTGTTAGTATAGTTTCTATCTGCCACGATCAAGTCAACAGAACAACACAGTAAAAGACTACTCTTGAAGAATTCTCATTCTTTTTCTTTTCAAGTGAAATACAGTTTTCACAAATGTCTTGTATATATCAGAAGAACAACTCTAGATTTTTCCATTGAAACTTTCTCTTAGCCATTTTTTACTTTCTAGGAGAGAAATCTGGAGTGGAGACAGAGACGGACGAGTCCCCAGTAGTGGTAATAAAGCCTTGGGGAAAAAACAACAGAAAAAGAGCCTTGGAAATACAGGAGATGAACCAAGGGCAGTCCACCGAGTGGGTGAGATGCTCCTTGCCCCTTTCCTGACTTAGAAAACTCACTCTGCTCTTGTAGGTAACTCCTAGAACTCAGTGTAAGTATTTGCCCCCTTCTGAACTCCCTCAGGGAATATGCACAGATCCCTACTTCAGCACCCGGATCAGTACAATTATTTACACGGAACGCATGAAGGACTATTTACTTTTGAATGGAGCATCTGGCTCGATGGAGGCACTCAATAAACGTCTCTTTAGCATATAACTAACACTGATTATACCTACAATTTATGAGACATTTCAGACTTTTTCTAAAATCTAGCTGCCTTCACGTATGCTGAATAAAGTTTTATTCAACAACTGAAAAAAACAGAACCATCACAAATATTTCTTCAATGTGTTTTTACCTCCACCCCATTCCATACAAAGATGTCTTCCCCATCCTCAATTTCCATTTCACACAGTGTCAGGTTATCTCCTAGGAAGAAGAGGCCATCAGTGAGACCATCTGTCATGATCACCAAAGACAACCGAACAAAAACAAAAACCTGAGACACTTAAATATTTGTTTGAAAAACCATTCTCATAAAGGAAAATTAAGGAAAAGGCAGTTGTAATATTATACTGGTATTATTTACTATTACTCTTATCTTAAATTTTTTTAAACATTTATTCATTTTTGAGACAAAGACACATAGCACGAGCAGGGGAGGGGCAGAGAGAGGGAGACACAGAATCCAAAGCAGGCTCCAGGCTCTGAGCTGTCAGCACAGAGCCCGACGTGGGGCTTGAACTCACAGACAGCGAGATCATGACCCAAGCTGAAGTCAGACACTTAACTGACTGAGCCACCCAGGTGTCCCGATATTACGTTTATCTTTATTCTTCTCATCATACTCTTACTTTTTTTTTTTTTTTTTCCATTTTATGTAAGCATTTCCGCACTGTTGTTATGTAAGCCTCCCGAGCATGAGAGCAGGGGAAGCACTGACCGTAATGAACACCGTACAGGAGTGAGCTTAGGCATCACATGGCCTGGGACCCAGCACTAATTAGCTATCTGTCCTGTGTGCCTCGTCCCCAAGCGTCAGTTTTCTTGTTTAGGAAATGGAGATAAAAGAATTTTGTGAAAATCAAAGGATACAATTTACAGAAAACTTATCTCAGTGTTTAGCACAGTGAAGTCCAAAATAAATGTCACTGCAGCTACTGCTATTACTATTGTTTCGTTGTTATTCACAGGTAGCAAATACTTTTAAGTTCTCAAAGTATTTTTGTCTGCTTTGCTACAAAATCTGTGGTAATATAAAAAAAAAAAAATCCAAAGCCTCTCAAAAACTTGTTTTGGTGGAGAGGTGCCCTTAATTTGAAAAAAAAAATATAAACCACGTCTGTCCTAGCAGAATTCACATAGAACATAAATCAGATAAATTAGTTCTTTGAAAACCGACAATGTGATGATAGCCTAGTTAAGGAAGTAGCAAGTAGGGGGGGAGACCGGCTAAGAGAAGAGAATCACAGAGGAGATGATCAAAATATAAATATATGCGATGAGTTGCTGTATTTCAGTTATTTATCTTACCATCCAGCATCCGATAAACGTGAAGTCCTGCAGGAACAAGCTTTGCCACACTAAGCACCAGATCTCCTTCCCAAAATTCTAACAGCTACAGAGTATTAGTGGAAGAAAACAGAACGATGGGAAGTAACATTAATTTCACATTTCCAGGTGAAAGAATCACACTGTGCAATTTTACATGTGTTTAGATGAAACGGGGAGCTAGCAAATGAATACATCCATCCCACCCAGCACCAAAAATGTGGCAAGGAGGCATCACTCGTTGCTAAATAAGCCAAATCCAAGGATGGTTAATCTCAGCCATTAGCGACCGGAGAATGCTGCATACACAGTGAACGTGATGACCACCCCAATGACTGTACTTAATTCACGGGGAAGGCCCCTTCCACGGGAAGGCACACTGATAGCATGCCAGCCCAAAAATCTTTGTCCAAAGAGCAAGAATCATTCGTTTCACTAGCACTGTGCAGGGAAAAGCACACACCAACATTTTTGTTAACTTGAAAGGAATGTTTCCCACTATAAATTCAAAAAGTAGCATTGCCAGTTTACAGAATAGTATCACCATGGATTTTTTTTTTTAAGTTTCTAGATCTAAGACTCTGGGGACTGGTCATCTCACCAGGATAACATCGCCTGTAAGGGTCAGTCCTACTTCATTCCTCTCCACAATACCACAAGGTAGCTCCCTTAAAAAGAAATCTCCTCTTTACAGGTGATTAGTTAACTGAGTCAACCCTGCAGCCTCTTGCCAATGTCTTACCTCCAGAATAACAGAGATGTGCACTTAAGACACCAGAAAGCAGACTGGAGCAAATTTGAAACTTACGAAGGTGAAGAGGTCTTTTCCATCTGAAAGGTCCCCCTAGATGGGGTCCCCTTCCCAAACCTACCTATAACAACACTGCCTGGACTGGCTCAGGAGTGAACTTTTAATGCAAAAATTCAGAAACACTAGGACATTTCAGAAATCCTGATACGAATCCAACATTTAAATATCATTCAAATCCACTAAAGTTAAAAAAGACATTGGCCTGCTTTTCTTTGTACAAGAGGAAAATCAAGAGAAAGTGAATAATTTTGGGAACTGATAAGTGGTTTTTTTATTTATTTTGAGAGAGAGTGAGAGTGGGAGCATGAGTGGGGGAGGGGCAGAGAGCGAGGGAGAGAGATCCCAAGCAGGCTCCACGCTGCCACAGAGCCCCATGAGATCATGATCTGAGCTGAAGAGTCAGATGCTTATAGACTGAGCCACCAAGGTGCCCTGGGAATTGATACATTTTTTCAGAAAATTCATTTATTCCTGCAAGAAATTAATGCCTACATTTTCTATTTCCCTTTTCCTTGAGTAGGAAGTAGCACAAGGTGAAAAGGTGTGATTAAAAGGAAGGAAAGAGTAAGGAGACCAGGGCCTAGTTCTACCACAACCAGAAGGCCGACCGTACACAAGCCATTAGATGTCCCCAAACCACAATTTTTTCACCTGTAATATGGAGTTAGCTTACCCTGGGTTGCCGTGAGATTAAGAACCAGAGGACATGATCTACATGAAGGTACTGGAAGTAAAGTAAGCAGCACTGTTCTCAGTAAAGCACACCTGGACCGGTTACTCAGAGGAAATGACTGACGACGAGGCTCGTTTGTACTGCACACCAGGAGCGATTTTCCTTCACTGAAAAGCTTCAGTAATAATGCTATTCTCAGGGCGCCTGGGTGGCGCAGTTTGTCAAGCATCCGACTCTTGATTTCGGCTCAGTTCGTGATCTCACGGTTTATGGGTTTGAGCCCATCGGGCTCTGTGCTGACAAGTGTGGAGCCTGCTTGGGATTCTCTCTCCCCACTTCTCTCTGCCCCTCCCCTGCTTGCGCACTGTCTGGCTTTCTCTTTTGCCTTAAATTTTTTGTCTCTTAAAAAAAATTTAAAACAACAAAATGCTCTTAGGAAACGCTACTTAGGAAAGGGAGAAGTGTTAGATGCTTTTGTTTGTTTAGCTCTTGGTTTTGGGCAACATGCTCATCTTTATTTTTTCTCCTCTTTTAACAAATAATTTTCCAAAAAAGGGACAGTCTTATACTCTTTCTCCCCAGATAAAATATACCAGGCTTGATTCTCCCCCTGAAAACCTGCTGGCAGGACAGTGTGGGTCTCGGCATGCAGAAAAGCCTCTCTGAAAGATGTACACAGAGAGAACATCTGGGGCAACCCTCATGAAGTGGCAGCCGTAAGATTTTAAGTGGCTTTGCAAAAGAAATAGTTGTCTCCCAAACAGGGTTTTTGAAAAGGAGAGTCCAGCTTGAGACGGACCTTAATGTCTAAATTAGTAAGAGGAAGCAGGGCTAAATTACCTGCAGTATTGATTGTCGAAGATCTCCTAAAGTTTTTCTTTTATCAAAGGTGAAATCCCACATGCTTTCTGCTTGAGAGACTGTCGGGTGCAGAGCCCCATTGAAGAAATGATAATGAGGGCCCAGGTGCAGATGCAATTCAAAACTATTGTTTGCAGAATCACATTCTGCCCTTTAAAGAGGCATAAAAAATACACAAATGCTAAGTTTTTATAACAGACACTGTTTCATCCCCAAACAAAAATACTTGATTTACAATATAAATAAGTTCTCTATTCTACCTAATTATCACTAATGTCCTTTTCCTCCATGCTCCAAAAGTAACTCATTTCAGTTTCTCAATGAATAGCAAGTTTTCAGCTCTGCCACCATGAATGCCAAGGAAAACGAATTTTAAGACACACTGTGCAATATTATTCTGAAAAAGTATCCACGCTCAGAATCTTCCAACCCTGAGACTACAGTTACAAATATGCTCGAAACCTCTTCCTGTAATGCGTTAAGTGCCAGATTTTTAAACTTCTGTCTCACCCTTACTTTCACTAGACCCCGTAGACTCTTCCGTAAAATATTTAGAGTGGATCTCAAGATCCTCCAGAGTCTACTCTCCCCAGGTCGAAGGTCCTCAGCTGCAGCCTGGTGCCGGCTGCTTTTCTCTGAATCCGCTCGGCTCCCCTAAGGCCAGTGCTGGCTACTCCACTCCTGGCAATCTGGCCAAGGGAGAGCTGGGTGAGGCCACGGCTCAGGTTCTCCAGACACAATTCTATTAATGTGGTCAAAGACAGCACTAACTAACTTTTCTGATGGTCACATAAAAAAGCTTAGTGCTGGCTGGCTAAACCCATTACGTTGTTGCTGCTGTTGCTCTGAACACCCGCTGCTAATGTGCACCCATTCATGCAGTTATCTTTCCTGTTTAAGATGTTTTACTCTAGGTTGTATATTTTTAGTGTCTTGATTTCCTTTGACAGCGGTTTGCCATTCAATCCATTTGCCACCTTTTTCCCCCCAGCTTCAAGTCAATGATAAAAATGCTGAACACATCCCTGCTACATAATGAGCCAGCCACGTGGAGACCACGAGAACATCCACTTCCCTAACCCAATACCCCACTGACCCTGTCAGAGAGCAACTAAAGATCCAGTTTTTCAGGGTCCAAGCTGACACCTCCAAAGAGAACAGGAAATCATCAAGTTCTCACAAACCGCGCTTGGGATAACCCGTTAACGGGTTTCTGCCACAGAGTTCGCAGAATCCACATTCCTTCCTTTTACCCACCTTCGGTCTTCTGTCACTACGTGTCACTTCTCCACAACTAAAATAAGGAGGGGTGATTTTCACAGCGGGCCCTTTGTACCTAGAGCACCACCTGACAGGCCAGGATACAATTCATTTAGCGGACTGTGTGTTTACCAAGTTCTCCAGTGTTCCCAGGCTTCATCCCTACTCGGCAACGGCCATTCGTGTGACATGATTGCATTCGCTGTCACAGAGAAGGATCATTTCAAAGCAGAAGATACTCTCACTATAAAAATTCAGCAGCTACACAGACACTGGCATTAATTGACTTTTTTTCCTTTTTAATTTTTCTGATTGAATACTTAAGACCTAAATTAGATCCTCATTCTCCAGAAAAACCATTTGAACTCTAAAAGTAGGTCAAACTCACCTTTTTCTTTGCAGTTCAATGTTGGCCGCATCCATTTCATTCAGCAAATGACATGGAACCCCGTACCTTGGATTGGCTCGAGCTGTGAAAAAAACGTCATTAACTTGGGCTGACTACACGAACTCTGGTTGCTGGACACCTGGCAGCAGGGAAAAGTACAAAGTGCTGGGAGCTAGGAAAGCTTGTACTAACTATCTCTGTGAACACGAACCTCTCATGGATCTAAGCTCTCCCATCTGAAAAACGAAAACATTACAACAAATGAAAGATACATGGCTCTTTAAGCCAAGCTAGTAGAAGGAGTCCATTTCTTTGATTCTCTTTAAATACACTTTTAAAAAAGAACACCCACTATTTTCTCCCTGATAACAAATGTAGTAACTGGTCACTGCAAAAATTCTGGAAAGTATTTTTCCAATATAAAAGAAATAGATATTACCTGTAATCCCATTCCCAAGAGATACTCCTAAAATTTATGATATATACTTCTGGTCTCTCTTCTATGTACCTGCGCAACGTGTCTGTACGTGCACACACGCATGTGCGCACATACACACGCTTATTTAAAGTGACTGGCACTGTATTTAACAAATCTGTTACATGCTTTTTCATTTCACATTTGTGTTTCTCCAAAGTTTTAAATGATTGCACAGTAGTCCATTCTATAAATAGCAGAATTAATCTTACCAATCTTTTCTGTTAGACATTGGGGTGATTTCTAGTCATTATTATAAGATAATGGGAGTAACGAACATCTCTGACATCTTTGAACATCCATATTTATACACAACTCTGATTATTTCAAGACCAACTTGTAGAATTACTGGTTTAAGGTGTTTTTTTTTTTTTAATTTTTTTTTTTTTAAACGTTTATTTATTTTTGAGACAGAGAGAGACAGAGCATGAACGGGGGAGGGTCAGAGAGAGGGAGACACAGAATCTGAAACAGGCTCCGGGCTCTGAGCTGTCAGCACACAGCCCGACGCGGGGCTCGAACTCACAGACTCAGAGATCATGACCTGAGCCGAAGTTGGACGCTCAACCGACCGAGCCACCCAGGCGCCCCAGGTTTAAGGTTTTTAAATACACATAACTTAATCGGTTATACTATTTTATATACCTAACCAGACGAAGTGCCAATCGAGAACAAGATTAGCAGAAACATTTTACTTGGCAGGAAAAAAGTGGTATCTCACTGCCGTTTCAATGCCTGTTTTTTGATTATGAGTTAGGTTGAATTTTTTTTCCTTCACTTTATTGGCTGCTCTTCTTTCTTCTTTTGTACATTTGCTTATTTACATCCTTTTCCCAATTTTCTATTAAGCACAATGGAATATACACGAGAGCACTCTGCAGACTGGAAATAAATGTCATATATTTTCCTGTTTCCCCCAGGGCTTGTCATTTGCCTTTTAGATTATTAAATGTTTGTAACATTTTTCCTTAAATTTTCTTTTTTTTCCTTTTAAGCTTAGAAAGGTCTTCTCTACCTTAAGATCAGAAAATATATGAGGCGCCTGGGTGGCTCAGTCAGTTAAGCGACTGACTTCAGCTCAGGTCAGGATCTCACGTTTCACAAGTTCAAGCCCCACATCAGGTTCAGTGCAGACAGCCCAGAGCATGGAGCCTGCTTTGGGTTCTGTCTGTCTGTCTGTCTCTCTCTCTCTCTCTGCCCCTCCCCCACTTGCACTCTATTGCTTTCTCAAAAATAAATGAGCATTGAAAAATTTAAAGAAAGAAAAAGAAAATATGCTTATACATTTTAAGGTTCCCTTTTAACAAAAACATTAAAGGAACTCGAATTTTATTCAAGCGACGAATACAGTCACTTGATTACACTGACTGCTAATTCAAGTGATTAGTAGCTTACTTCCAGCTCTATTTCTTGAGTGATTTCCCTTTCCTCCCATTTAGCTGAAAAGTTACCTTACCACGGGTTAAAACCTTAAAAACCCTGGACGGGTATCTGGGCTAGCTCTACTCCAGTGATCTGCCCACCTCTCCACATTAAGCACTGTGCTGTCTGAACTGCTGGAGCTTTTACAAACAGGTTTTTACTGATGGAGTAAATTCCCTTCAGTAGGTCCTGCGTCAGTTTCCATTAACTCACCTCTCCAGGTGAATTTAGAATCATCTTGCCATGTTCCATCCCTTTATTCCCCCCAGAAGTCCATTAAGATTTCAGCCAGATCTTTATTCAATTCATAAGCTAACTAGAAAACTATCATTTAGTACCTAGTCAAATCATACACATACTAAAATTCAATTTGGGGAAAAAGAAATACTCCATCTGAACACGTTCTTTTTTGTTGTTAATATATATTTCTAAAACTGTGAATTTTGCCTTCACAGTATTTTTATCAGAACCATTACTGTATTTTTCCCCCTTCAAAAAAATAAAGCCTAGAATTTCTGGTTAAACAGAATAACTGTGTAACAGTTTTAGATCCAGAAATTTTATTGCCTTTGACTCATGTGCAAATTAGTAACTGCTCTCTTCTTGTTCTTTATAAAAACGATTACTATTTTCATTCTCTAAGAACAGTGTCCTCATTTGCAACCACAGATTTGCCTCAATCCAAGGAACTTCCCTGGTTAGGATTTTTACTTTTGAGTGGACTTTGGGAAGTGACCGAAGTCTACACACTTTGATTCATGTTAGTGCTTTCAATTAAAAATGTATCACTGTGGGGGTGCCTGGGTGGCTCAGTCGGTTAAGTGTCCAGCTCTTGATTTTGGCTCAGGTCACGATCTGCCGGTTTGTGGGACTGAGCCCCACGTCGGGCCCTATGTTGACAGAGCACTAGATTCTCTCTCTCTCTGCCCACCCCCCCAAATAAACATTTTAAAATAATGTATCACTGTGGGTCTCAGTGTTTAACCTCCCTGTCTTATGAGCTGTCTTAGAAGGTTTAACAAAGAATGTTTTGAAGATACTTCAATTGCTCAGAGACTACATTAATTACCTTGAGGGAAAGGAAAAAAGAAGTAAAAGGGGACATATGAAAACAAGACTAGGGCCCCTTACAACTCAAAGGCAACAAACACATGGCCAAACGACACAGCCAAGCCTAAGCATAGGGCAATCACAAGCAAGTCGGTCCACACAACAAGAACCCGTTATGTGATCCAAGCACCCGATTTTGAAATACTAACTATGGCCTCATATTATTAAAGGAGAAAAAATAAATAGAAATATATAATTATAAAATGACTGTTAGATATCTTTTGCATAATGTGTTTCCTCCTGTTAATCTTGAAAATATTTAAAAATGTTCCAAGAGTAAACTTTTTAAGTTTATTGATTTATTTTGAGAAACAGAGACAGCATGAGTGGGGGAGGGGCAGAGAGAGAGGGAGAGGGAGAATCCCTCCTCGCTGTCATTGCAGAGCCCATGTGGGACTCGTACTCACGAAACCGTGAGATTATGACCTGAGCTGAAACCAAGAGTCAGATGCTTAACCGATGAGCCACCCAGGTGCCCAAGAGTAAACTTTCTTTTAAAAGGGTAAAAATTCAAACAGCATTAAATATTTATCACCTAACGTCATCAACTTAAACAAATAGAACATTTTTCTTTCCATACCTTCAGGGGGTCTCTGCAACTGGGATTTCCGATAAAACAACATGTAGGCACTTTCTTTACCCTGAAACTGCTGTTCAATATCTTTTTCCTTGATTGGTTGGACTTTGGAATCATTTATATCAAACCAGTGGGGACAGGAGTTTCTGTCATTTAATCCTGGGGATTCTGAAGTTTGCATCTGGAAAAGGTGTTGATCCTTCTTTTGAAAATCGGACTCAGCCTGGAGAGAACCATTCTTCAAGAGACTAACTGTACTTTCATCTGAACTGAGCAGAAATATCTGAGAATGAAGCTGTAAGAACTACAGAGAGACAAAAAACAAATACTAAGGTTAATAAAAAAAATTTTTTTTAAATAAAAACTACATCTTCCTTTCTGTGACTAAATATTTGAACTTCACCTTTATTTTTGGCCTACCCAGCTAAGAAGGGAAAAAAAAAAAAAATCCGTTTGAGTCCTGATGAGACATTTAATAACAATCAGAGTGCTCTCCTTTAAACAGTCTAATAGTCACATCAAGGGAGAAAGCTGCCATGCCACAAGCCAAAAAATACTTTAATTATACCTCAATAACACTAGTTTTGAAAAGTACTTTACTAAAATAGATTAGGCAGAACAAACACTTTTGAGATGTTTCACACAGAGTATAAACAGAGCATAAAACAAAGGCAATCACAACAGTGAAACGTTACAGAAGAGAATTTCAAAACTAGTGACTCAGACAAACTCTGTCTGAGTAATAAAGGAATAAAGTAATAAAGGAATAAAGTAATAATCATAAGCTGAAATTGTCCTTTAACATGGACTAAATTGAATGTTGTCTGTCCAGGAAGCTGACAGGTTAGCTCAGGAAATCAAAGCACAGAAGGCTTAAGTCTTAATCCTAAAAACTATTAATCAAGTTCTCACTAAAGGGTTAGAAAGAAAAAACCATTCTTTCCTCGTTGCCTATCCCCTCTTTCAGCCCTACTCTTGTCCCTTCTCACTCCCTGATTGCTGTGTGGCCTTGCATCTTCTTGCCTCACAGCACAAAGTTACTTTATGCAGGAAACCACCTGGGAGGTATGCACAACATCTGCTTAGTCCATCAGTCAATATGGAAAGGTGACGCTCTCATTTTCCACTTGGAAAGAATGAATGTGCAGCAATGCTAAATCTCTCATCAAAGGAGGATGGTACCACCAACAGAAAGGAATGAGTATATGACCCAGACAGTATTGTTAACACTGTGTATAAAAGATAGTAAAATAGTTTTGTAGCTAATTTGTTTAGATACAATCAAATAACAGTTTGAAAACTTTGAGTAATGAATTTTCTGGTTAGCCATTTTTTTCTTTGTTTAATAATTGAGGATTAATTCTTTTAAGCCTCAAACTTGGCACAATCTGGTCCCAGTAACAGCAGAGAACTTTTATTGGACTAACTTTCCTGATAAGAAATGATAAACTCTAGACAAAATAATGAAAACAAATGTTTGGAGAGTAACCAAAAATAGGCATAAAACAGGGGACATAATCCTTCAAAGGGAAGCAAACTCGATGAGTTTTACATTAACCCACTGCTTCCCAGTTTGTAGCGGTAGAGGGGTTCAAGCAAAGGGCAGGAGTCTTACTGAGCCAAGGAAACAGAATTTGAACATGCCAGAGAGGCTAGAAAGTGAAAGAGCCGTATAAAGGAACCTCAAATCTACTCCAAATCCCCCTAGAATCCTTGGCTGACTCCTGAACAGTATATGCACAATCCAAGATGCACAAAACCCCACAGGAAGCAACAGCTGGCAGATTCTGAGCAGAGACTTTAGCATCCTGCTGCTGGATAGAAGAACGTGAAACTAAAGTCCTGGCAAGTTAGAGGAGTATGACAAACATCTCAGGCTTTCCACTGAAATCCTAGAAGGGCCATGCCTTAGGCTGGGGGCTGGCAAACTTGTAAAAGGTTGGACAGTAAACACCTTAGGCTTTGTGAACTTAAGAGGCAAACTTCAGGACATTATGTAGGCACCTATATAGCTTTTTAAAATAAATAACCATTTAAAAATGCAAAGAGAGTTCTTAGCTCAGGGCTGTACAAAAACAGGCAGTGGCCATATTCTGGCAACCTCTGTCTTAAGAGGGAGGACCAGGCGTGTCTCAGGACTAATAGCAACACTGCAATAGGCCCACCCTACAAACTGTAAAATGAAGCTACCAGAGGATCAAGACGATTCAAAGGTAATTTAACAGCCTGGTATGACATACTGTGAAACTCTTTAGAGAACAGCACCCATAGGCAATATAAGATTAAATGACATGCAAACAGGACAGTGTTTTTCATAATCAAGAGATGACACGGTCAATTCACAAGAGAAAAAAAAAGTTAATAGAAATAGACCCAGAAACGATCCAGACATTATGATACCGAGAAATTATTACAAATACTTAATTTATATAGCTTAATAAAGCCAATTAGACTTTCAAAAATGTATTTAATTTATAAGAAAGGATGAACAGAGTGGGTTCAGATAGGGAGTTTCAGTGGAGAAACGGACACTCTCCATTACAGCTAAGTGGAAATTCTAAAGCTGAAAAATACAGTATCTAAACAAAAAGTTCACTAGCTGGGCTTAATGGAAGACTAGATATAGCAGGAGAACCAATGACCTTGAAGATGAAGCAATGTAAATTATCCAAATTGAAGGAGAGGTAAAAATTTTCAGCAAAAGAAAAAAAAAAAAACCCAGTTATCTAACATCTGTGAGGAAATCCAGAATGTTCTAATACATATGTAACTGTAGTCCCAGAAGGAGAAGAGAGATAATGGGGCAGACGATAAATTAAGAAGACAGTGGCCAAAACTGAAGAAAGACTTTAAGTTACAGATACAAAAAACTTAGCAGATACAAAGCAATTAACACAAAGAATACCATACTGAGACACATTATTGTTAAACTGCTAAAACCATGGGGGGGTCTGGGGGGCCCAGTCGGTAAGGGCCAACTCTTGGTTTCAGCTTAGCCATAAAACACTGCCCTGACAGTGTGAAGCCTGCTTGGGATTTTCTCTCCCTTCTCTCTCTCTGCCCCTCTCCAACTCACACTTTGTCTCTCTCAAAATAAATTTTAAAAATAACCAAAAATAAATAAATAAACAAACTGCTAAAAATCAAAGAAAGAGAAAAAAAATCTTAAAAGCTGGCAGAGAAAAGGACACATTACGTTCAAGTCACGGAACCAAAATAATGGAAGCCAAAACATAATGGAGTGTCATCTTTAAGGTACTGAAAGGAAAAAACAAAAACCAAAACCTATAAAACCAGAATTTTATATCCTGCAAAAATATCCCTTAAAAAAACTGAAGACAAAATAACAATTTCAATCAAACGAGTCAAGAATATTTTCACCAAGACTCGAAGAGGGACATTCTCAAAAGACTTGAAGTTCTATTACATTCCAGGACAGTGATACCAGATGCACGGCTGAATGTGCAAGAACCAGTGAACACCAGAATGGATAAGCATAAAACACGATTTTTTCATTCAGTTTTTTAAAAAGCTGCTTGGGGAGCCTGGGTGGCTCAGTCACTTAGGCCTCCGACTTCAGCTCAGGTCTCGATCTCACAGTGCTTGAGTTTGAGTCCCACCTCGGGCTCTGTGCTGATAGCTCAGAGCCTGGAACTTGCTTAGGATTCTGCATCTCCCTTGCTCTCTGCCCCTCCCCCATTCGTGCTCTGTCTCTTTCTCAAAAAAATAAACATTAAAAAAAAGCTGCCTGAGTGTTTAAAGCAAAATTTAATAATAATAAAAATAAAAAACAGAGTGGAGTTTACCTGTAATGGTAAAACATAAGACAACAGCAGAAATGCAATTACACCACTGTGAGCATGTGACACTGTTCATGAAGTGGTGTGCCATGAATCTGTAATTGGTAATACGGACTTACGTATAATATGATCCCTAGAATAAAAAAAACTACAGAAATACAGCTATTAGCCAACAGAGGAGATAAAGATGAAACACTAAAAATCACCTGATTAATCTAAAAGGTAAGTAAGAAGGAGCAAAAAACAGGTGGCAAATAAAAACCAAATACCTTGATGGTAAATTCAAACTCAACCATATTAATGCATTAAAACCAAATGGACTACACATTCTAATTAAAAGAAACTTATCAAACTATTATCTGATAGAAAACAAACAGCATAGAAGAATCAACACATACAAAGTTACTTTCTTAAAGAGTTTAATAGATGTGATGAACCCCTAGCAAGACTGATGAAAGAGAAAGCCGAAACACCCAAATTATCAAGATCAGAAATGAACCAGGGAACATCCGATCCTATGGACAGTAAGAAGGTAACACGGTAATATTTCAAACAACTTTATGCTAACAACTTATGCTTTAAATAAAAGGAGAGATTACTTAAAAATCACAATTATCCCAAATAAAAAAGAGCCAACTTCACACTGCAAGAGACACACTTATATAAAAAAGCTTGCAAGGTTACATCAATACTAGACAAGGTAAATTTCAAGGCAAGGAATATTAGCAGACATAAAGGAAGGGCACTGTATGTCAGGAGGCCATAAAAATCCAAAATGTGTATGCACCTAATGGTATCACTTCAGGGTACATGAAGTAAAGTTGTCCAAAGTAAAAGGGGGAGGGAGAAATCCACCATTGTAGCTGATATTTAAACCAAAAGACACAACCAAAAGACAGAAAAATTAGTAAGGACAGAGAAGAAAACAGAACACTATCAACCAATGTGACACAGTTGACATTTACAAAATATATCCAGCAACTGCAGAAAATAACTTTTATGGTAAATTCTGAATATTCAGCAACACAGACCATATTCTGAGGTGTGGAACAAATCTCAATAAATTCAAAAGAATTAAAATCAGGGAGAGCATGTTCTCAAGAGTACAATGGAATTAACTAGAAATCAATTTATGGATATAATAAAAAGATAAAAAGAAATCCCCAAATATCTGGAAATTAAGCAACACATTTACACACACACACACACACCACAAGGGAGATTACAAAATATTTTGAACAGAATGATAATGAAAACATGTCAGATTTGGCTGCAGCTAAATTAGTGCTGAGAAGGAAATTGACAGCTTTAAAAGCATCTATTAAAAGGAAGGTTTAAGGGCGCCTGGGTGGCTCAGTCGGTTGAGTGTCCAACTCTTGATTTCGGCTTGGGTCATGCTCTCATGGGTTCATGGGTTTGAGCCCCAAGTTGTGCTCCATGCTCTATGCTGGCAGTGCAGATCCTGCTTGGGATTGGGATTCTCTCTCTCTCTCTCTCTCTCTCT